ATGACGTGATCACCAAAAATCACAATCCCAACAAAAACTATTATTACTAAAATTACACTTTATATATTCAGTTTTATATCAACTCAAATGAAATCTTTTAGACTCTAAGGTTGACCTCCATAATTCAAATTTACCTTCAACTCCCTTTCTAATATTATCAACAAGAAGAATACATCAGCTAAAAGCATACACCAAGGTTCAACCTTTTGCAAATGTCTAGTGAGAACATCCATGACTAAAGCAAAAAGATATGGACTTAAGGTAGATAATTGATGTAATCCAACTGAAATAGGAAAATACTTGATCAAACTACCTTGTGTCTAAACACACGTAACAGCTCCAACATATATATCCTTAATGACTTGAATATAAATATTATTAACCCCTTTCTTTTCTAGAAGTCTCCATAGCACATCTCTTGGAACTTTATCATATGCTTTCTCTAAATCAATAAATATCATATATAAATCCTCCTTATTCTCTCTATACTTCTCCATCAAACCTCTCAATAAATGTATAGCTTCCATAGTTGACCGACCCAACAAGAATCTAAATTAATTTTGAGAAACATTAGTATCACACCACAACCTATGCTCCATAACTCTCTCTCATAGTTTTAAAGTATGACATATTAACTTAATTCCTCTATAATTCGCGCAATCTTGTTCATCACCATTATTCTTAAAAACAGGAATCAACACACTCATTCTCTACTCATCTGACATCTTTTCAGTCTTTAAAATAATATTAAAAAGTTTAGTAAGCCAAAAAATTCCTTAATCACCTAAGCATTTCTACACCTCTATTGGAATATCATCAGGTTTAATAGTTTTTCCAAACTTCAGTTTCTTTAAAGCCTCTTTAACTTTGGTTTTACTAATATGTCGATAAAAACAAAAATCTTTATTTTCGTTTAGGGTGCTAAGGCCACTAAAATCAATCGCATTCTCATAATCTTTATTGAAGAGTTTATAAAAATATCTCATCCATCTTTGTTGAATATTCTATTATAATAAAAACACTTTTTGATCTTCATCGTTAATACACTTCACTTGAACTAAATCCTTACTATTTCTATCTCTTTATTTGGCTAACTTATACATATATTTTTCTCCCTTTTTAGAATATAATCATTATATAAATCATTAAAAGCTGAAATCTTTGAATCACATATTACTTTTTTAGACTCTTTATGAGTCTCTTTTTATCTTTTCCAATTATTAGAATTGTTAAATCTAAAATAATTTTTGTAACAATTCTTCTTATTTTTTATGTTTTCTTGTACATTTTGATTCCACCACCAACTATTTTTATTATTAAGAGCTTTCCTTTTGATACTCCAAAAACATCTTTTGCAATATTTTTAATATCACTAACTAGTTTTTCCCACATAACATTAGCTTTCTCATGCACATACAAAATCTTAAAATCTGATATCTTACTCTCAAAATATTTTTGTTAATATTCTTTAAATGCCCTCATCTAAACCTAAAACAACGTTTAACTTTAAATTTTTTATTTTTTGTCCCTTCATCTTAAAGTACAAAACCAATAAAGCAATGTTGGATACATAAACTATCACTTGGAATAACTTTACAATCTTTGTAATTTAAATGATCTATCTTTCTTATAAAAAAATAACCAATCTGAGTTTTCTTATATCTATTCTTATAAATGATAAGATGCTCATCTCTTTTCTTAAATAAGGTATAAGCTAAAGAAAAATCTAATATGATCTTACCACCTTCATTAGTCACTCTAAACCCGTTGCCCATAGCCACTATGAATAATTTTAAAATCTACCTCTCTACTAACATGTCCATTTAAATCTCCTCCAATAAAAATATTTTCTTTAAGAAGTATCTTTTATATTAATTCTTCTAAGTCATTCCAAAATTTTAACTTTGAACTCATATCCCAACCTACTTGAGGAGCATAAACACTTATAATATTAATAATCTTAGCATCAACAATAATTTTTAAAGCTATAATTCTTCTCCAATTCTATTAATTTTTTTACAATATTATCCTTTAAACTCTTATCGATAATCACACATACACTATTTTTAGTATGACTCTTGCCAAAATACTATAGTTTAAATTAAGGTTTAAAATTGCATAGTTGGGCATTGAGGCTTTTCTTTTATTCATGAGGCGAGGCTAAGTCTCAAGACGTTTTGAGGTGTAAGTCATAAAATAAAAAAATTGTGTTAAGTTTAAATAAATGTTAAAAATGATTTTTTATATAATAAAATAATATTTTGAAGAATGACATGTTAACTTTCTATTAAATTATGAAATAACAAATTGACATACATATAAAATAAAAAATTGCATAAGAGATAAAGTGACAAGTGATAAATTGCGTGAAATAGAATTGAAATACAAATATTATAAGAGCAAAATAATAATAAATATATGAATGACATTAAAGTATCATATAATATCAAGTTTAACTCCAAATTTCTTATTTTTCACTTTCTTACTCATCCACATTTAATTCCTAAAGAAAACTAAAATAGTTGACAAAAACTTAGATATCATCTGCACTACATCATTGAGGGAATTTTTATTTGTGTCGTCATTATAACAAATTGATCTCTTTATTTTCTTATCCTATGGAGTCTAATGCCTCCCAATTTAGTTCTTTTTCATTAACATAAATGTGAGATTAATACTATAAAAATTTTAGAGGAAGTGGTGGTGGTGTGCGGGTTTCAAGTGATCCTGGCGGTGGCTACGACGGTGGCGACTACAGAGAAAACGGAGGGTTGGAGGAAGCTGTTGCAGCTCTTGGGGGTGCATTAAAGTGTGATTTGTTCGGGGTTTAGTTTAGGATTTAGGTAAGTTTTCATAAAAATATATGTAAATTGGGTGAGTCATAAGCCTCGCACCAATGAGGCATGGCGTGCCTCAAGACAGGTCTCAGCCAAGTTGAGGCGCTAGCTTCATAAAAAAAGTTTGAGGTGGAAGCCTCAAATGCGTTTTTCATTGGAATTGCATCGAGACGGGCCTCAAGGTGAGCCTTATATTGCTCAATTTTAAACAATAGTTTAAACCCTAAACTATCAATCTCCTTAGTCTTCTCTGCAACCCACTTAATTTTTTGAATGCATAGAATATTTATTTTCCTATGAATCATAATATCTATTAATTCCACTAATTTGCCTGTAAGAGTACTTATATTCTAAGTTTCTATTTTAATTTTAATTTTATGGACTAGCTTCTTTGCCCGTATCAGTTCATGATGTGGGAACCCTTGCCTATTTAATACTGCATCCGGGTGTTAGAGAGCAGTCCTTGCACACTTATCGTTGTATTCAGGCTATATAGCACGTCGCTTCCAAGGAACGCCCTATTATTAACATTATGTATTAAAGAATTCGCGTCAGGGTTATTGGACAAGTTTTATGCTGGCTGTCGACCACTTAATGCAACCCTCCACTTTTCTCATCTAGGACTTGAGACCTAACAACGACACTGTCAACACTAAGACCCTAAGAACTATTATATGAATTCAAAATTCTTGCAACCAAACAAACCCTAAGAACTATTATAGACGATGAAATTGTATCCACTATTACCGATGGATTCCAGAGATAGCTTGTTTATTGCTGTGAATGACCTACTTGAGATAATTCATAAATTACTTGGAAAAAAAAATACAAAAAATATATTCTTAGTTGCTTGATGTATCAAATGCTAAATTCGGGGCCAAATTCCTCCAAGCTGAAAAGATATGATGTAAATCTTCAAGTTTATTCTAGTTGGAAGCATCACATTTTGTATTGATTTGAGTGTAAGTTATTTGTTTTCCAATAGACGTGATGTTATTTTATTTTTTAATTTTAGGCTAGTTTACATGGTTTGACATGTTCTCAAATTTGACTAAATTTAGATCAAAATCTCAATTCATTGGCGTAAAAAATTTCGACATATTTTAAATTATGTTTACAATTCATTTTGAATTTATTTAAAAAAATGGATTAAACTGATCAAGACAAGATTGAACATGCAAAGCTTTGGGATGTTGGGCCATGCGAAGCAAGAAGCTCTAGCCTCTACAATGCAGCCAAATGTTCCTACTACATAAAAAAAAGTCATCCCTGAAATCAGGGAATTTTCTCAACATGCTTTCACATCATAGGAAATAATTCATTCATAATAATGATATCCCATAAATACTGAAATTCCACATCTCTGTTCTTAAAAAAAAAAAAAAACCCATCAAACATCTTACATGACGATATCAAGCTGCCACATAACTAATTCACTACAAAAACGATGAAATTCAGTATTTTGATAAAATTTGATTTCATAAAAAAATGAATATCACAGAAAATTACAAATGACAAAACTGAGGTTGCATAGAAGTAGCCAACAATACGAACCATGAGCAAATGTCAGGTAGAGGCATGATTTCATTTAAGTGATTGTATTATAACATTTATCATCATATCATGAATATGTCATGAACAGAGCGAATACTGTGCTATATGATAACATAGTTTTGTCTTGGAACAAAAATTAATATGAAAAATAAAGGAAGCATATTTGGGATCACATGTAGCATCAATATATTAACATAAACTATTTAACCAGTGATCTTGGTACAGGTGTTGTCCAAGTTGTAATAATCCGAATTTTTTTGAAATAATTTTTTTAAAATGAAAAATCTGAATTTCAGCGCCGTGCCTTGTCCAAAAAGAGAAAGGAAAGAGAGAGATTGTTGTTCGGTCCGTCAATTTTATTCAGAGATTTTTTCTATTGGTTATGAGTAACTCAAATCTCATTTTAGTTTTTAATAATTTTAATTATTATATAGATTTTCTTCTATTAAAATGAGTTAACATGAGCTAATTATCGAGTAAAACAAGAACAAAGAGTTTTTTTTGAATGCACTAATTATAGCACAAAGAAAATGTTAAATTACTAGAGATTCAATTGAACTCTAATTGGGTAAAATGCCAAGTTACAGAAGAATGTCGAAATAAATCAAATCAAAAGCAACAAAAATATGATCAATATGATAAAATTAGAGCTCTCCAAAGTACGCATATTTATGATCAAACATAATTTGCCGTATGCTTTGCAAAGAAAAGAGCATGATTTACCTGAACATAAAAGAAAACAATTAATCCATTTGTTCATTGTATTCATTATCTGAATTAAGGTGCTGCAATGGACCCTTCACACTCAAATCATTTGAGCCGAAGAGCTCCCTTGCTGCCTTCTCAAGAAACTCCTGTGCAGCAGCACGAACAGACGGCTTCTCAGTAGATTGGTACTTTGTTTTCTTCTTTGCTCTACTTGTCATGAAAGATGTTGTCCTGTCACCCTTGCCTCTACTAATATCATGCAGACTCTTCCTCTGCTCTGAAAATATTTAAAAACGCTATGAAATCCACTTCAAATTTAAAAATAAAAACCACAGAAAAGAATAACAGAAATATACATAATTTTAATGCAATCAATCCCAGACCTGGTGCCAAATCAGGTAAAGACCGCTCAATGAATCTAGTAGCTGCTTGGGGATTTAACTTCAGTGATGGCCGCAATGGTGCTAGAAAAAAAAACGACTTAAAATTTCAGATAAAATAGGAAAATAGTATGGAAATAACAGAGAAGAATAATGGAATGTAAGAGTAAATCACAACAAAAACCTTTGTTCCAGTCATTATATTTCCTCAACTTATCTTCATGCAAACCCAGCCGCTCCTGCAGCAAAAAACCAATATGTGAATCATCCACAGCTCCGCGTACTTGAGAAAAAAACATTTAAATTGTTTAGTTCGTTGATATCTTCTAAGTATTATCATGCATTCATGCTATTGGCAGATTAGTTATTTGGTTCAATGACATCAAATTTAGCCAACACCAAAATGTCTAAATATTCGATGATTAGACAAAATAATTGTACATTCATATTCACCAGAATCATGCTAAATTATGAGAATAAAAAAGAAAATTCAACAAGTCATTGATTTTGAACTACCTTGAACTGCTTATAACCCAAAACTTGCCAAGCTTTAAGTTGCCTACAGCCTCGAATTGGCTGGAACTAAATCTCATAAAATGGCTTAGAAATTAAAAGGCTCATGAAGTCATTTATTTTCTAGGATTGAATATCACAAAGTGGCCCAAGAATGAACACTTACATGACCATCAGTAATAAATTATTAAAACGTTATCTATTTTCTAAAGCTATCACCTGAGTACTCAGCTGATTAGGAGCTCTAATTAGAATAACTTGACAAGGGTACTTGCCTTTAATCAATAACTTGTTCAAAGTTCCCCACTATCAGTTAACTGAAAGCTAGATTCGCCTGCTACAGAAATAAATACATCAAGTTCAATTTATCAGCTTTACGTGCAATCACATTATTCATGCAAACTTTTTTTTGAGCCAGAACTATCACATTAACAGTTCTCCATAGAATCTCTATAAGATTATCCTCATAATTCTCTCTTTTTTTTTCTCAATATTGATTCTCTTTAGCTTTGTTCAACTAGCTCTTCTTTATGAAAGGGGTTTGGTAAGTCTTTTGTAGATCAATTCATTCGGAGAATTATTGAGAGTTGGCCTCTCCATCTCATCTTTTCTATTTTTTTGGGGCTTGATCCATATCTTTAATAGGGTCTTAACTTCCCACAAATAACATTATATCCTAGTTCCAACATCCTCTTAGATAAGGCGAGCAGGAATAATACTTAATACAAAGAAATAGATCATAGAGCGTCTTAAAGTTGGAGACATCATAGAAGAACCAGCAACCAAATGGTTATGTGACTTTCGAATAGTTGTAAAACATGGAGGATTGTCTCATGAGGATAATCTAGGGGATCTTTGATCACTTTCTCAAGACAAACCTCTTGCTCACTCCTCTTGAGGGTGCAAATTTGTTTTCTCTCCTAGGAGTCGACATTGCCTTAACATAGATAAACCCTATGCCCATGAGAAGAATATAGTGGAGACTCCTTACCTTCGTTGAACAACAAATAGTTAGGCTCAGCTTACGAGCACTTTTGCAGTAGAAATTGCAGAGGCTCAACCACCACCACAGTTCAAGATGTCAGTGAGGAACTCTTATTAAAGGAAGTCGGCCCTGACAAACCATATCACTCACTGCAAGTCAAATACCTTCCTCCTCACTATTAGTAATGCAATGAAGTGTCGACTTCTCATCCCTACTTTTAAGGACATGCAATTACGTTTGACTCATTCAAACGCTAACATCATAGATAAAGGTCAACTTTATAGCAAGAGCTAATTTCACAGCACATGCTTGATTTCCCAATAAAGTTCAACTTTATAGCTAAAGCCCAACTCTACAAATTTTGACTTCACAATCAACGATGACTTCAAAACATCAGAATGATTTATAATTTTTTAATAAAGCTATGACTTCAAAGTGGAGAATCGACTTTGAGCATCTGGTTTCTTCCTTAAAGTCGACTACATAATGAAGTAGGACTTCCCAATCATAAGGCCAAGTACACAAATAAAATAACAAGAAGTAATATCTAAACTTTTATAATCACAAGAAATTTTTAAGAAAAATGAATTGTCAGTTCATTCAAAAATTTTGTTGCATCAAGTCTAAGGAAAAAAATACTAAATAGAAACTTTATATTATTTTTTTTAACAATTTCCTTATTTGATGAGGTACACCAAGAAAATAGACAAATTCAAACAAAAAGAAAATAACAAAATCAACTTTCAAGAGGACAACTTGCAGAACTCGAAGAACCATTAAACTTATCATACAAGGATATTGAAGCTCCTCCCATCGCATAGAGGAATCACATGTCAAGAGCAACCTCACGAACAAGATCACAACTGTGGATTAATTGTGCATGAAATCAACCCAACTACAATCTGACCAATTTTAAAAATTTATGAAAACTTCCTCAGCATCGAAACATTTGTCCTAAACTCGTGAATAATCAACAAAATTTGTTTGGGTGAATTTCTCAGGCAACTCAACATGGTGATTAGCATACCAATTCCTCATGGCTTCTACTTCGTTAAGTTGTTACTGGTTGAGTTTTTTTGGAGACTTCAAATCTAACAATTTTCTTAAAAAACATTTCATTTGTTAAGATATTCTTACTTTCTCAAACTTGATGCCAACTTTAATGTTTCTTGTCACCTTCTCTATAGACTTGAGATCTCGACAAGCAGCTCTTCAAATTTGCTCTTAGGTACCAGCGAATTGTTAACCTTGACTTCCCCTAAAGTGACTTCATTGTGGAGATAGTCACGTCATAATCTTCAATCCTTTTAGCAAGAACTTGAGATTCTTCTTTGTTGTAAGACACAGTGTCTCCTGTAGCTTTGGGATTTGCTTTCAACTCACCATTGGCATCAAAACCAATTTTTTAGTTTCATTAGCATGGCTGAGATTGCCAACAACTCTGACATCATTAGTAGGCAAGTTGCATTTCATAATGCTCTCCTAGCCAACAATTTTGCCTTCACCAGCAACTTCTTCAAAAGCTGGTTCTCCAAGAGCCTCAAATTATTTCTTCTTTGACTAGGCGACTTTGGGGAAATTGCTCGTGTCTTCCATTGAAATTAGCGGCAACGTCCTCAAAATCTGGCTCTCCAACCCTCTTAACTCTTTCCTTCTCTGGCTGAGTGACTTCAGAGAACTTGTTCTTGCTTTCGACTAAAGATGACTCAAGCATTTGAAGTATTGCTCCCTCCATCTCCTTCAAGAAGTTTTCTATCAACATCGAAACCAGAGCCTCACTTTGAGGTATGTCAAACTCATAAGTCAAAGAATTTGTTTATATCCACCACAAAAGTGGACCCTGTTAAACTCTCCACTCTATCCTGCTTCAGGAGGAGTTACAACTTTTACCTTCATCATCATAATATCAAATCTCTTAGTTAAAAACTCCTTTGCACTAAAGGTTTTCGTAACTGCAACTTCTTTGATAGACTCCTCTTGCTCATTTAAACCTAGCTCCCCATGGAATTCTTTAACATATTTGATAGTAATCATCTTTAGTAGAGATATCTCCGTTGAGGTAAACCCCTCAGTCAAAAGGTAAGCCCTTTGCTTGTCAGTCTCCTTGTACTTCCTCCTAAGCTCATTAGCAACAATAGAGAGCTTGAAAGACAATCAAACTTCATCTCTACATAGTCGAACTCAAAAGTGAAAAATAGTATAGAACAATAGAATGATGGCTGAAGCCGAAGCAACAAGATCTTAAAAGTAACCAACAAGCCTCACTTTTTTTGACAGTCATGTTCATGTGTCAACCACACATCGAAGATGTACGCATTCTATAGAGCTAATGCTCTAGATATAATCCAAGATACCTAGGTCTAATTGCGAGTTTTAAAACTTTAATTCTCATGTCCTTCACAACTTATAGGAAGGGATGAGAGAATTAGAGAATTGATATATATCCATATTCATCTTGGTTAGACTAATCAAGTCATTTATGAGGGTATCAATTGGGTTTGAGAGAATAAGAGAATTGATATATATCCATATTTGTCTTGGTTAGACTAATCAAGACATTTATGAGAGTATCAATTGGGTTCAACAAGTCACTAATTTTAAAATAATTTGAACCACCTATAACTCAAAATTTCCAAAAATTTAAGTCACCTAAAGCCTCAGGTTGCCTACATTTAAATCTAGTCACGTCAACCCATGAATCAACCTTTACCCGACTCTTAATATTGAGCTACTGAATTTGCTCGAGCTACCCATAAAGTCATTTAATTTTTTGTGATTATTCGCCCAAAATAACTCAACGGATCGTCCAAATCCAACCAACTAGGGGTTCTTCCCAGAGGTTGTCAAAAGAATTCATCAAAGGTACTCGCCCTTAATGTAACTCACTCAAAAATTCAAACAAGTAGTTGAATACACTGTGTTCAATTTATATACTTTTTGTGTAATCATACTATGTTAGCAAATTCTATAACACCGATCTTGATTCTCACCTATAAATAGAAAGTCATTACATGAGCATAGATATGCAATCTTGAACTAAGGGATAAAACTCTATCACATTAGTCTCTCATATAATCTCTCTAAAAATCCCACAGAATCTATCCTTTTACACTAAATTGTTTCCTAATAGCTCAGTTTGACTCCCCCTTCTCCATCAAACAAGTTTGACTAATTTTTTTGCAGATCAATTCAATAAGAGAATGAATAAGACTTTGCCTTTCTTATTGCTTCCACTATTTAGGCTTGATTCATATCTCTAGTAGGATCTTAGCATCTTTTCATGAACAACATGAGATCTAACAATAACAATACAAAGAATAATAATTACAATTGATCTTTCTAGATAACATTACATGCATATTTGATTCCTGGTAAGATTTAGTAAATTCAGATTTGATAAATCCTATGTAAGTGGTATTCAGTAAATCTTGGGGTGTCTTATTCTTAACTCCAACCAAATCTTTGGGCTGCTTCGAGAAGTTGTTGATCTTATAAATCCCAGTACTACTGGAATTTGATAAATCCTGAGTTTGAAGGTTTATCGAAGCCTCTTATAAGATATTTGTCGGGATTTAACTCAAATCCTATATTTAAGAGGGGTAAATAGGCGACCAAACTGCCCTAACATAATTTAACTAAGATAACATTAAATCAAAAGCATAGCATGGGGGGGATGGAATTGCTATTTTAATAACAGTTTACATAACATTAAATCAAATAGCCCCAAAATGAAAACAAAAATCATACCCAAGAGTACAGCAAAACTCACAAGCTCAGTTCTGATAGGGTGTTCATCTGTGCGAATTCCGCTACAGCTCAATCTCACTGATCAATTCAGTCAAGCCCAAACAACAAACCAGTAAAAATCAACTTTATTAGTGAAAGCATATCAATTGATGGAAAAAAAGAGAGAGATGGAGAGAAACTTTTTCGCATTTATATTACCTGAGAAGAGAGCTGAAGCCGACGTCGCCATAACAAGGAAAGCTCGCGCTCGCTGGAGAGGAGTTAGCTCCGCGAGTACGTCAGGCTCAGCTAAGAGCAGAAAGCGCTCGATATTTCCCTTCAATTCATCGACACAACTGAGGCTTTCTCTGAGAGAATCCAGAACGGTCACTGGAATCACCGAGTCTCCAATTTCCGATCTCTGGCCACCCATACTATCTCACCTAGACTGCGAAACAACAACACGAGAGGAATGATTTTCTATTCCTTCCGGCTCTAATCGAAATTAGGGTTTCTGCCATCAGAGAATCACAGCCGTCCAAATAAACAGAACAGATCCAACGGAACTTGACGGTTAAGCTTACCTATCGGTGATCCTATTATGTGGCGCACAGTGGAGCTGGAAGGCTTCCGATTAAGAACCAATGATTCAAAAAGAAAAAAAAAATCCTGATTAGGAGAAATTGCGGGAGAAAGAACCATGGTTATCTCTTCCTCTACTACGTCATCTACTGAAATAACAGGTGAAGTAGATAAAAACTGTCCCACTCTTTCAAGATCAGTTTTTTTCTATGGATTTAACGACGAAATGATGTGAAGCAAACAAAAATTTGTAGCCCTTACACTTTTCCTAATGGGGCTGAGCATTATAGAGTTCTGCCCTTTGGGAATTTGTAGCTTTGGTTCAAAGGGTTCTGAAAGCAACGCCAAAGGTAAGGCTTTTGGTGATTTGTCTTCAGTTGGAGGGAGAAAAGCTGAGAATTTAAAAGTTTTTCCCGGTGGATTTTTCTTGAACCGCAAAAAAAATAGCAGAAACCATGTAAGTAGTACTCGAACTAGTGGGATTACTTGTAATGTTGATTTGAAGGAGCTGTGGAGAAATGGGATCACTTCAGATAACATTTTAAGCATTCTGAAGCCTATTTCAGACCCAATTCAAGCCCTTCATCTCTTCAAATCCGTTGCTGAGCAGCCCAATATTATTCACACTACTGAATCATTCAATTATATGCTTGAGTTGTTGAGAAGTCATGGTAGGGTAGAAGAGATGGCTCTTGTCTTTGATTTGATGCAGAAGCAAATTGTCAAGAGAAACCCTAACACCTTCTTGAGCATCTTCAAGGCCCTTAATGTCAAAGGAGGGCTCAGGAGTGCCCCATTTGCACTCAAAAAGATGAAAGAAGCTGGTTTTGTCTTGAATGCATTTTCTGTTAATGGTTTGATATATTTCCTCCTTCAGTCGGGTTACAGTCTACAGGGAATTGAAGTTTACAAGAGGATGATCTCAGAAGGGATTATACCTAGTCTCAAGACATATTCTGCACTGATGGTGGCTTCTGGTAACAGGAGGAACAATGAATTTGTGATGGAGCTTTTAAATGAGATGGAGAGTTTAGGATTGAAACCAAACGTTTACACCTTTACAATATGCATCAAAGTTCTTGGGCAAGCAGGGAAGTTTGATGAAGCTTATAGTCTTTTGAGGAGAATGGAAGATGATGGGTGTAGACCAGATGTTGTGACATATACTGTGCTTATAGATGTTCTTTCTGAAGCTGGGAAACTCAAGAAAGCCGAGGAGCTGTTCTGGAAGATGAAATCAAGTGAGCAGAAACCTGATAGGGTAACTTATATTACATTGTTGGACAAGTTTGGTGATGCTGGTGATTTAGAATTGGTGCTTCAGTTTTGGATGGAAATGGAAGCTGATGGTTATAGTGCTGATGTGGTTGTTTTCACTATACTTGTGGATGCTTTCTGCAAGCATGGAAAAATTGAAGAAGCTTATGAGATGCTTCAGGTAATGGAGGGTAGAGGTGTATCCCCGAACTTGCACACTTATCATGCATTGATTGGGGGGCTTTTAAGGGCTGATAGATTAGATGAAGCTAAAGAGGTTCTACATGTTATGGAAATTAAAGGTCTAAAACCAACTGCTTTCTCTTATATTCTTTTCATTGACTACCACGGCAAATCCGGAGACTCTGAGCAAGCTTTTAAAACCTATGAGATGATGAAAAGTCGGGGAATTGTGCCTGACATTGTAGCTTTTAATTCTTGCTTGTATGGCCTAGCTGAATCATCCAATTTAGTACAGGCCAAAGAAGTATTTCAAGAATTACAAGCCACTGGTTTATCTCCGGATGCTATTACTTATAGTATGATGATAAAATGCTACAGCAAGGCTGGGAAAGCTGATGAAGCTGTAAAAATTTTCTTTGACATGGTCGAATATGGATGCGATCCAGACGAAATGACCATGAATTCGTTGATTGACGTGCTCTACAAGGCCGGTAGAGAGGAAGAAGCATGGCGGATGTTCCACAGAATGAAGACAATGAAACTAGAACCAACTGTTGTTACTTACAACACATTATTGGCAGGGTTAGGAAAGGAGGGAAAGATTCAAAAAGCAATGGAGTTGTTTCAGGGGATGACTTCTTATGGTTGTTTACCAAATACCATAACATATAATACGCTGCTCGATTGTCTTTGCAAGAATGGAGCTGTGGATATGGCAATTGACATGCTTTATGGAATGATGGAAAAAAATTGTACACCTGACCTTCTATCTTATAACACTGTCATATATGGTCTGATTAAAGAGGATAGAATAAAAGAAGCATTATGGTTCTTCCATCAGATGAGGAAAATTTTATTTCCTGATTTTGTTACTCTATGTAGTGTCCTCCCTGGTTTCTTGAGAAATGGATTGGTTGATGTTGCTCTGTACATTATTGATAAATACTTACTTCAGCCAGATGCGGAAATGGGTAGGGGACCTTGGGATGCTCTTATGGAAAGGATATTGAGTGAAGCAGGATTTGATCAATCAGTTGCCTTTGCTGAAAGACTTGCTGTTACTGAAACATTCACTAGCGATTACTTATTATGCTCTGCGATTAAATATCTTTGCAAGCATAAGAAAGTTCTTGCTGCAGATAATCTCTTTAATAAATTCAAGAACTATGGTATTAAACCAAGCATTGATGCATATAACCCTCTCATCTGTGGCCTTGCTGAAGCCCACCATACTGATAGGGCTCGAAACCTTTTTGAGGAAATGAGGAGGATTGGCTTTTCTCCTGATGTTTTCACCTACAATTCTTTACTAGATAATTTGGGAAAGTCCATTAGGACTGAAGAAATGCTAGAGTTGTACAAAGAGATGCATATTAAGGGAAGCAAACCAAATATCTTTACTTACAACATAGTTATTTCAGGTCTTGTTAAGTCAAATAAACTAGATCAGGCTATTGATTTCTACTATGATCTGGTGAGCAGAGAGATCTCCCCAACCCCGTGCACATATGGTCCTCTTATTGATGGGCTTCTTAAATCTGGAAAAGTAGCTGAGGCAGATGAACTGTTCCAAGAGATGCTTCATTATGGATGCAAGCCTAATAGTGCAATTTACAATATTCTCATGAACGGGTATGGAAAGTCTGGTGATGTGCAAAGAGCTTGTCAACTTTTTGAAAAGATGGTTAGAGAGGGAGTAAAACCAGATGTGAAATCCTATACTATCTTGATATACTCTCTATGCTTTGTGGGAAGAGTCCATGATGCTCTTCTTTATTTTCAGGAAATGATTGCTTCAGGTCTTGAACCTGACTTGATGACTTATAATTTCATGATTAATGGCCTTGGAAAGTCTCAGAGATTAGATGAAGCTATTTCTCTGTTTGATGAAATGCAGAAGAAGGGAATTATTCCAGATTTGTATAGCTACAACTCCTTGATTTTCAACTTTGGGAAGGCAGGGATGATAAGTGAAGCTTGGAAAATATTTGAACAACTCCAGCTTAAAGGCCTAGAGCCAAATGTTTTCACATATAATGCTCTTATACGGGGCTATAGCGCATCTGGCAATGCAGATGATGCTTATGCAGTGTACAAGAAGATGATGCAAGGAGGCTGCAGGCCGAATTCGGGGACATTTGCTCAGCTTCCTAATCAGCATTGATGCCTTCAGAGATCACTTTTCTGCACTCATTTTTATATAATAATACATTGTGAATAGATCAACTGACAGTACTGACCGTTAGGATTGCAACCAGTACAACAACATTGGTAGTTTTCCTACTAGCTGGTACGTGTTCTTAGCTTTTTCTTACAAGTACACTTGCAGTTTCCCTTTCAATTGCTCGCCTTTTTTAAAAAAAATTTGCCATAATCTTCATAGGTTAGTAAATGGAGCTTCTCTGATTGCTTACAAAGAAGTATAAGTGATTTTCTTGAGCTGAAGCATATATTTCTATTACCTTTAAGCTTGCACATAAATGTGAAAATGGTAGAAGGGCCCAAAGTTTTCTTTTGAAGATATTTGCCAATTGTTTTAAACTAGAGACATGAGTAACAATCTTTTGGGAAGCAAAACATCTATTTGTCAATAGGATCTGTGATAAATTTTCTTTGAGAAAGTTTAATGAAAGCAAGCTCCTATGATTGGAATTCATCTTCTTAAATGTGAAAAAATAAACATTCATATTATAAGTATTTTGAAATCATCTCCACTTTTCCCTTCATACTGTGATGATAAAATAATGCAAAATTAAGATAATTTTTGTAATTTTTATATTTACTTATACTGTTGGAAAGATAATATAAAGTAGTTGAAAATGTGAATGAAAAAATCAACCAGTCCGAACAAATACAAAAATTGAGATATTGCAAATGAGTTCATGCCAAATAAATAGAAATCAACTCACAAATTAGGCCATTGCATCAACCATACGCAGTTCACACGACTTAGGTTTCGTTCGGGATGACTTTCTTATTGCTTTTTAAAGCAGTTTTTAAATGCAAAAATTTTAATTTTTGTACTAAAAAGCTATTTTAAGAAGCAATAAAAAAGACGTCCCAAACGAAGCCTTAGCATCAACAATTTACTTATGCAACACAGATTTGCTTGAATTTTCTTTTCTTTTGATTCTTTTCCTCAACAAATCATTCAATAAAATGCTAACTAAGACTGTAAGATCAGTTTGGTCGCTCAACAATTAATCAAATTATAATTCCTGCTGTTTGATTCATCTACCAGGCTTAATTCTGATGATTAATACATCTAATTATTAAAGTAATCAATAAAAATCAAGATTTTGGTAATGGTTTTCCTGCCAGAAATGACTTGAAAAGCTGGAATGCTCGCCTGGGCTTGAACATTGGAACCTCATGCCCTGCTCCTCGAACTGTAGCAAATGTTAGTCCCTCATAAACCTCTGTCCAACCCCCAACCTATACAAAAAAGGATTAAAAAAGGTCTTTATATCAAATTTTTTATAAAAATATTGTCACTGTATATGAATAATGATGGATTTATATTGATAACTCACCTGTCTACCAGTATACCATGGGTACCATGGAATTTGAACCGTTAAATTTAAGTGGTTGATAGAGAACCTTGTTGCTGTAACTGGGACTACTGAATCTGTATCTCCACTGCAATTTTCATTAGAAAATAAATAAATTTAATTAGATATATTTGAAAAAAAATCATTTTTATCTACACATAACACCAAAATACTCTGACTGATATTTACAACTTTTTGTTTTATATAGAACACCTTTCTTTATTATTTCTAAATGAAGAAAAATAAAATCTGATGTAGCTCATATTGATCTATTGATTGAGAGTTTTGATTATCAATTAATGGATATGGGATTCGAAATTTGCATATGTGATATATGTGTGAAAAAATTTTAAATAAACTAATAAAAATATATAGCAAATAAAAAAAAATGTAAAAAAAAATCTTGAAGTTTTATTTAAAAAAAAAGGCAAATATGTTTTTATTAAAATTTGATAATAATATAGTTAAAACTTTATATTTATTTTACAATTAATGTAATATAAGAGTTTATTGCTATTACTCATATATTCCATTAATCTTAAATTAATTAAAATGTTTAAAACTCTTTAGACTTGAAATTTCTCCATGTATTTTTATAGCAAATTAATAGAAAATTTGAATTTTATATGATCAATATTGCATATAATAAAAATAAATTTCTTAATTTATAGTTTAAAAAAAACTTAAAATTGATACAAAAATATATTTACTTAAATTGAAAAAATTCCACCTTCATCATTCATCGGCCCTCACCTGAAGATCCAAATCCGAAGGCCTGCAGCAATCAACTCCTTGTAAGTCGGTAGCATAGAGAACTGCGAATCTGTCCAAGTCTTGATCAGCACATCACTGCATCCATAACCCACAATACATAGCAGCTTTAAGAAAACACAAAATTCGTAAGCTGCTGATGCGATTTTTATTCGTGAAATGATCAAAATAAAGTAGCTGACCTGCAAGCAGTCCACTTGTAAGCTATTCCTGTAATGTTAGCGTGCATGGCCTCCTGCACATCCCGCCTATTATAATACCTCTCAGCATACATCTCCGTGCAAGGATCATACCCTCTCCGCCGCCGCTGCCGGCCATCACCAAGAAATAACAATCCAGTTCTCCCCAGCCTCGTCGGCTTCCTCCTGCGGGCGGAGGATGAGGCATTTGCAGGCGAGGTGGCGGAGGCGGCTGGGCAAGAAGGGGTGTAAATGCTGTACTGGTCAATATCGCCGAACTCGTGGTTCATGGCGTAAGAGACGGCGCGGTCGCATCGAGGGGAAGTGGAAGGGGAGGAGAAATTGCAGGAGGAGAGAATGGAGCGGTAGGTTCGGTCGGAGATCATGGAGTGGGTCCACCAGTAGGTGACGGTGCCGAGACTGTCGTAGTTGTTGTCTGTGACAGCGTTTCCAACCTGTAAACGCCGGCGATCGCCGGAGATAAGAGGAATGGTGATTAATTCAGCTGATTGTTTATGGATGTGAATGAAAAAAACAGAAAATGATGAAGTTTCTTCTTTGAGTTTATTATCATAATAACTAAAAATTTGGCCTAGAATTTTGAAAACAGTTAGCAATTCAAGTCAGTCTTTAAAGCTGTTGCTCAATGATGTTCATGACCTAGTCTTCAAAGAGGACATCACAATGTAAGAATAGTGTGAAGGGTCTTCTACTATTGCTCTAGATATTTAGAGCAAAAGGAGTATAACAAGTTGTAAAACAAAGGCATATCTAAATTTTTAATAGAGCTAATTTAAACTTCATAGAAGAGGAATTTAATCTTTTTTGGTTAGCTTTCAAAAAAACCGTACAACTTTCCTCCCAAACTGGTAATGCTAATGGATCCAAACAAATTCATATATAATATCTCTAGTGATATAAAATTCACGAAATACTTAGTAGAATGAAATGCTGACATGACCTATTTTCCTAAGTAGCATGTATAAAAAAACTAGTTTTTATAGAAATATGGTTTTGGTACTACTCTAACTAATTATAGATGTATGATTCTTCTAAAAGTGTTCAAGTTGGCATGACAGTCTCTTATTTCATAGCCAAGAGTCATTCAGATTGATTTTCAAGCAACAAAATCTATAAAGATGTCTCAACATTTTACAGTAATAATTAAAAAATGACTAAGGGTGATATGATGATAATGTGTTAGAGCTAGGATAACATTGCGTACATAAAATCAAATAGCGGGAGCAACTACTAAATTCACTAATGGTGATTCTTGATATAATTTTTATAATCAATTTAGAGTTTCAAAAGTATATATAGACATCACAAACAAAATGATATTTTAGGTTCAAGAAGTAGGAATATAACTAGTTAAGCATGTTGATAATGAATGATAAGTTTACCATTAACAAAGTATGAAATCACAATCAATAGTTCAATAAATATTAAGAAGTGGTGTCATATATAAATGACTATGTTAAGATAATATATCAACATTTAATCTAAGTTAGACATTATCGAGATATGTAGACAATTTTGTCACCAAATTTGATTATAAAGTAGAAAAAAAACTATTGTATAAATTCATTACGTTTATTTTGTATGTATTGCTTAATTTTCTACAAAAACTCTCTACAAATCTTTATTTGCCATACCCAAAACATTATCTAACATTTGTGTAAATATATTACCTACCACTTATATAAGGATTAAGGAGATCATTGCATGGTATTGAATGGCATCCATCATTCACTTCTAAGCATTACATAAAAAGATCAATGACTTGGGAATGTGCATGGAGGTTAAACCAAGAAGACTTTGAATTTGAGAAGGGTACTACTAAATGGATGACAAAGATTTTATTAGGAATCCAAAGAAGATTGGCATGCTAGCTTGAGAAATTTGCCTAAGTTCAGAAGACTTTGAGTGGCTTAGAGGCCAGGTTTCAAAAAGATGCTTGAGAGCTAAGTGATTATTTGTCCAAGCATATTTTTACTGAGTTGTTAGCATATCTCCTAACTCCTACAGTCCATAAAATTGGCGCAGAAAGCCAGAAATTAATTCATGGCTAATGTGGTGTGTGTAGGCAAAAAGAATCCATAGAGATGATCATAAGAGAGGGGCTACAATAAAGTAGAATTAATGAAAAGGTCCAAGATTGAAGGACAAGGGGTAAAACTTTTCTTTAATTAGTTAAGGCCATAGAGCAAGCAATGGAGAATATAGAAGTCAGCTCCATAGTGAGGCAATGTCATCAATCATATATATAAGACTTCTAACTTGGAAAATCTTGCCTTAAGAATAAGCTATTTAAAAAATTTGTATCAGTAAGTATGCAAATTGATGCCTATATAATTATGTTGCTTTGCTTCAATGGTTAAGTTGTAAGACCCAAATCATAAATGCAAATAGTCTAACCTATCTTATGTTTGCATGCAAACCATTGTGCTATGGATTTCAAAATTAGATGAGTTGGTAGTCTTTTTATGCATGATTATATAACTATCGTTTGGATTTTCTTAGCCTTCCTCAAAGTTTTAAGCAATAACTATTTAGGTTTAAGGTACTACCACAATAGTGTTTCTCGCCTTAAATCTTAGATTCAATGATAATTTTAAAGCTTCCAACATGAAATAAATATTATACACTTTTTTTTGTGTGCAAACTAGATGATGGGAGAATATCTCTATCAACATCTTTGAAGGACTATCATCAATAAATAGATCTTATAGCTATATTTTATTTTTATGGATAGGTTCATGAAAATGATAGACTCAAAAAGTGTAACATGACAAGTCAAGAAACAACTAGCAACCATGCTAAGTTGGTAAATAGAACTAATAAGCACTTATTGAGAGAATTCAACTAACGAAACATAAAAACTAAGGATGATAATATCATATATCAAGTTCAGATTCACTAGGATGGAACAAAAGGCATATGTTTAACTCACGATAAATCCTTGAAGGTTGATGAAGGGCTTTGAAGAAGCTTTGTTGTAGTCATTAATTTTTTTTGCCAGCTGAGGAACATAATGCCCTAAGGATATAAACAAAATATCATATATTACACATAAGTAAGATTATAAAAAGTCGTTAGGCTTTAGCTATTTCACATTAAACTGCAAAGATTTAACAAAAAATGTGCAAGAACCTTTATTGATTATCAATTTTGTAACATAGATTAATCACATATAATCACATTATTAATTAAGAACTTTTGTAATACTAATATTTTGGAAATTCAAATCCCTAATATTTAATATTTCTACATGAGTGCAATTTAATCAACTACTATGAATGAATTTTCTTATATGTTTGAAAATTTTTAATTTGTAAACTAAATCTGTTAATTATATTTGTGTGTTATTTAGCTTACTTGCATGGGCATAACTAGTAGGCATGATTAAGTTTTACTTCTTGCATAATTTATATGGAGTTAAGTGAGACAAGGAAAAAAAAATTATGCTAGGATATTCTAATATAAATTATATAAAGATGGAATTGACTATCATTGAAATTATAATGAGATTAGTTATGTGTAAGAATACCTTATATAGAACTAGTATCAAACTAAATCCAAGTCATAAATTGTTCACTGGAGTCAGGTTCCACCGAGAAAAGCTTTTCTTGATGGCATGTTTAAAGAAGTAAGACATGATTAATCGAGTTAAATTTTCGAAGATTGGTGGTTGTATAGTATAGAATTTTTTGTCAAGCCTACCATCGAGAAAAGCCTTAGATATATCGTGTTGAGTGATAGGCAAGCCATGAATAAGAGCAACCCTGAGAAATATCTTGTTGGAATTTCGTTGGCATGATTAAAGGTTGCTATGTAGTCAATGCCATGTGTTTGTTTGTAACCATGAATGACTAAGAGAGCTTTCTACGGAGTAGTGGTGCCATTAGGATTATACTTGGTATTATAGCCATTTGCAACTAATCATATTTTGATCACAAAAGAGTAAAATGAGCATCTACTAACCTTGTTAAAGGAGGGCTTCGAGTTCTTTGGACATGGATTGTCATCAATTTGAGTCTTTGGCTGCCATAATATAGCAGCTTGGATCACTATTGGAAATAGAATGAGTTAGGTAGATGATGTATTTTCTTGAGTATGACTAGTTTTTATTGGGTTTACAATGTGTGACATTGGTGAGTGATGACTAGAATGTTGGGTGATTGGTGAGTTGACAAAGAGGTTTAGGTTATAGTATGTTGAGGTGAGAGAGATATGGATTGGGCTAGGGATTAGGGAGTGGAAGATGAATGTGGAAAAATAAATGGAGGGGCTTTGTTATGATATTAGAATGCAGTGTAGAAGGAATGTTTGCTATAGGTATTAGTGTTAAGGGTAAAGAAATGACTACTTATAGAGCACGACTGTTGAATGGGTTGGGGATTTTGGTATGAAAAAAAGATGCTCATTGATGATGACATGGCGAGATAAATATTGTCAGAGAGTGGTTCAACACAACAATAATCCTTTTTTTATAAGTGTCAAACATTGATAATGAACACATTGCGTGGATCATGGGGGGAGCTTATTTGTGGAGTATGGTCTAAGGAATTGGAAGATATTGACAACAAAAAATTTTAAGATGAGAATAGCTACGATAGGTGCGGTGTAGATGTTATTAGAGAGAGATGAAGCTAGTGGAAAGAGATGGAGGATGATTATTAAAGTAGGCTGCAGTGAGGAGGGCATCTACCAATAATGAGGGAGGAAGATGAGCGTCCAATAGAAGTGTATATGAAATGTCAATAACATGCTAGTGTTTACGTATGGTGAAACTATTTTGATATGGTATGTAAGGACATTTATATTAATGTTGAATGCCATTATGGTTAATGAGCTCTCCACCATCATCAATATGAAAAGTATTAATATGATATAGTTATTATTTTTCAATTAAATATTTAAAATTAATGATTTTATGGAGAGTCTTAGATTTGTTAATCATGGGATAAACCCATCAGTAGTATTAGTAGCCGTCAATAAATAAAATGTAATATTTATATATGTCCATAAATATTGTCTGGAAGGGTCCCCAAACATCAAAACAAATTAGTTTAAGGGATTATGTACCATAGGTTAAAGAGAAAAAAGAAAAATATAATTACTCTTTGATGAAAGACAAGTACATGAGTGATTTGTAACGTCCGTGCATTTTTCAAAGGTTTGTTTACATAAAAGAGAAATGATATGTAAAGTTAGGAGGTCAAGACAATGATGTCATAAGTCCTTCATAGAGTGAGTTGATAGCAATGCAAGAGTGTTGTAATTAGGCTTGCTATAGTGGGGAGATCATCCATAGTAGAGGCCTTTGTGACATGATCCCTTAAGAATTATATGATTGATATTCAAGTTAATGATTGTATAGCCAACAAAATCAAAGGAAATAGAGAAGGAATTGTCATTAGTTGGGCAATGAATATAGATGATATTTTATGAGAGGTTAGGAACATGAGGAAGGGGTTGGTGGAAGTCTCTAACCAGAATTTTGATAAAAAGTGATTTATTATTCTTGATAATGACTTGTTGTGAGCCTTGGTATGATTGTGGATTGAGAAGGTTGTCTGAGTCTGGAGTAAAGTGTGAAAGATGCAAGATGGTGTCTTTAAGGTCTAATAGAGTGTAGCCATGATAATGACATCAACTATAGATTTGATGAGAGATAGATTCTAAGTCATGATTTGATCTTTCATGTGAACAATGTATCTTTCATTCTTTAGTTGAATAAGATGAGAGTAATTGGTGGAGTGAAGAATTTTCTCAATGATTACCTATATTTCATTATATGTATTAAGGCTGATAAGTGATAACATAAAGATGATATACTAGAGAAAGGTTAAAATAGAGAAATGAGATATAAATAATGTAGCAGACTACGATAAGTTCATTTCATATCAATTCAATTCAAAATAGCTACATGCATGGCCTTCCTGTTTTTTTAAAGCGGCTTATCTAGTACAAAATTGTTCTGAAATATAAATTTTTTGTACTAAAAAACTACTTCAAAAAGTAGTAAGAAAGCTGAAGCTTCTTTTGGGACGGCTTTCTTTTTGCTTCTTAAATCAATTTTTTTGTGTAAAAATTTTAATTTTTGTACTAAAAAAATGCTTTATGAAGTAATAAGAAAGCCATGCATTTTCGGCCCTCTCTCATAAATTTGAGTTTTTTTTCCTAAGCTTACCAGCATAGCTTTCACCAGCAATGTAGAGTTCCCTGTGCTTGTATTGTGGAAACCTTTCCATCCACCGGATCAAGAAAATTAGCGAGTCCTCAGCTGCAAATTCGATGAAAAGTTATTACGTCCATATAAAAAATCGGAAATCGGGACAAATACTGAGCAATACCGAGTGCTCGGTACCGAGCACCCAAGCGACGTGTCGCTTTGTTATTGGTCTATGGACGCGTTCGGTGTCCCGACACAATAATGACTCAAATTCGACACCCACAAGTGATGCAGAATTACAATTATTTAAAAAAAAAAATTGAGAAAAAAATGAAATTTATCATAAATATTTCAAAATGCTAAGCAAGTCATACCTGTTCGCTCATCGCCAGATTTCTTCAGATCGGAGCTCGTATTTGTGTAGGAGAAGCCCACTCCGACTGGCGATTCAAGAAATAATATATTTGCCTCTGCTTATTAGAATAAATAAATAAATAAATCTCTGTGTAATGAAAATAATTAGTAAAATAATTTCTTATCAGCTAATCGGATGAGCAAACTACCTCTATTCCATGAGTACTTATTGAGGTATAGTCCTGAACCGGTTTGGTTGATCCGAAACGGTCCAATTTCTTCAGAAGCCCCATAGGCCACTGAAGAGCAACCAGGCCCTGGTCAAGATGTTGAAGTAATTAAGCAAACTCAAATTCGAATAAAATTCTAATGTTAACATCAGTTTCTAATAAAAAATATTTAGACTAACTAATTAAAATATGATCAGGTTAGGAACAAAATTTATAGAAATAAAATAATAAAATACATTAAAAACTGTATGTTTTTAGCTAGTAAATCAATCTTTTGTTTGGGACAATTGTCTTATAGTTTCGCTTTTCAGATCATAACGATAGTTTTTATTTGGCTATTGCTTTTTCTGTACTTTCAAGGAACTTTTAGGCTAAAAAGCTATTTTTTTATAATTGCATTTAAAAAAGTTATTTTCTTCATAACAGCTTTATAACCACCATTGCCAAAAGCTACAACCATCTCAAATGTGCCCTAATGTTTTGTTAGAAATGTTTTTTAAGCTATTTTTAAGGTAAGAAAAATAATAGCAAAAAAATAATATGCATTTTGAAGAAAGATGTTATGCAATGTATCTTTGTCTAATGATTGAGAGTTTTGGCTACCAACCAAGAGGAGAGTCTAAAGCATATTTGAAGGGTTCAAAACATATTTGAGTTACCAAATGAATTCCTGAGTTTTTTTTGTTTGGCCATGTTCTGGCCTAACATTTTTTTTGTCCCACTCTTTGTAGGTTCTTTTTGGTTTTGGTAGATATGAGTTTATTTTCTTTTTTTAGTATATAGTTGGGTATACATGTTGTATTTTTAATTTTCTTTATAATCTGTATTTATTTTACATAGTAGAATGAATTTGGGCTTTGCCCTCATTTTAAACCCCCTCCCCCCCCCCAAAAAAAAAGTGTGAAAAATAAAAAAGCTTAAGATGCCTCAAATTGCCTAAGCTTTTCTTTATTTACTTTTAAAAGCTAATTTCTCAATCACAATTTTAAAACATTTTTCAGAAAACAATTTTGTAAACTCAACCGTTTGAAAAAACAGTGAAACACTCATTGTTTTATTATTAGCTGATTTTTTTTATCACGGAAGCAATAAAAAAACTATTCCAAACAACGCTTTAAGCTACTCCAAATAAAACCCAATTTTTTTTTTATTCACCGTTACTGTGCAATTCTTGTTGCATTTTGGTCCATTTATAGTAATTTTGTTTCTTTGGTCTATCTTATATGTTTGATAGTGTTATAAATAGAGGTGTACTTTTCTATAATTTTTTAGGGAGAATGGAATAAAATTTTACTTTGGTTTTCCTCCAAAAGCAACCCCTCTCCCTCTCTCTCCCATTTCTCTCCAAGAAACGTTTAAGAAAACCCACAAACTGGTATTAGAGGCTGATCGAGGCGATCTTGAGGAAGGAGGAAGGTTCTTGTAGTCCAAAAAGAGAGAGGAGACGGTCGGGAGGTCTCAGGCGGAGCCAGGCTGGGCAAGTGGCTAGCCATACTCACATTTTTTGAGCTGGTCAAAGTGCACGTGAGCACAGCACGCAGGCAAGCTCGGAGCAGCTTATTGTCGCGATCGAGAGGGGCAACAAAAGAGGCTGAGCAGGCCTCGGTACTCAGGGCAGCACATGAAGGCTCGGGCAGATGCACATGTGAAGGCTCATCAGCAGAAGCGCAAGCCAACACGTGTGAATGAGCGCTGGGTGCTGGCACAGGACTGTGGTTAGACGTTCAGATCACGAGTGCTATGAGGGGCATGGGCGGAGCCAAGTGGGGGCTGGTGACCTGCTCTACAAGATTCTGGGTCGCAATCAGAAGCATGTGGAGCATCAGGGTCGAGCGCAGGATTGGCTATGTCGCGTGTAGTTGTGCACACTGACTATTGGTTGATCCGCAAGAGTATTCTTGCAGGTGGGCAGTCGAGCGCGGGGGTTTCAAAGAGAAAAGATGGAGCAAAAGCATGTAATTGATCGATAGGGAAAACTAGCAAGGTTGCTCTTTGTGGATAACATGTGTTTTTTTCCTCATCTTTGTAAAATTGGACCAATGGTGGGGATTATTGTATTTTGGTCCATTTATAATTATTATGTTTCTTTGGTCTATCTTACTTGTTTGATAGTTTTATAAATAGAGGTGTGAGTTTCTATACAATTTTGAGAAGAATTGAATCAAGCTTTAGTTTGATTTACCTCCAAATTCACCAAAATCAACCCCTCTCCCTCTCTCCCCCATTTCTCTCCAAGAATCCTCCAAGAAAACCCAACAGTTCTAAATTATTTTCTAAAATATTACTAAATGTACTAAATGATTAAAATATAAAATAATAATAGTAATATAGATCAATGTCTGTAGCAACTCGCAACAAAAACTGCTTGAGGCTTTCTTAGAAATCTCACCAACTTTTCAGTATAAAGCGATGCAAAAGCCAATAAATAGTGCTGACTTTAGATAACTGGCAAACAGGTATTTATAACTTCAATTGTACATGAATTGAAAAAGATGACAATAATGATTAGAAAACAGTAATTATGTGTAGATAAGCATCATGAAAAATCAAAGTACTTATTATAGTCTAAGCAAATAAGATCAGGGCAATGCCAAATTCAGATTATTCCTATTTTTGGTACATATTATGTAATAATTGTGCTTCAATAATATGATATCCTAAATGTTCAGGATTAAGGCTTCGTTTGGGACGGCTTTCTTATTACTTCTTAAAACAGCTTTTTAATACAAAAAAATAATTTTTGTTCTAAAAAACTGTTTTAAGAAGTATTAAGAAACCCGTCCCAAATGAAGCCCAAGGCTTCACTTGGGAAGACTTTCTTACTACTTCATAAAGTGACTTTTTAGTATAAAATTAAAAGTTTTATACTAAAAATCGCTTTAAAAGCAGTAATAAAGTCGTCCCAATTGAAGTCTAAGTGTCCATTAGGAGTGGCTGTAATTTTTTATAAAGGCGGTTATAAAATGATTATGAAAAAAGTAATTTTCTTGAAAGTTATTGTAGAAAGCCGGTTTCAAGTACAAAAAAATTATGATTCCATTATAAAAAACAAAATAGCAAATCCCAAACCAAAAAAATTTGCATCCCAAGTCCCTAATAAAAAAAGTCGAAATCATAAAAAATAAATCCAAAAGCTAAAAGGCCCACTCATTCACACAAAAAGCAATCTCCACCACTTTTAATAGTAAGAAACCAAGCATGCTCTGTGAATTCTGCTAAGTCAGAAGAACAAAATGGTTGAGCAAAGAGAGGAACAGTATGGCACTTACTTCCCTTTCACCCTTTTACTGAGACAACATACCAAAAGTTGCAGGCTGTGTTATTTTGTTTTTATGTCTGTTGGTTTGTTTGCAAGGTGGTGGTGATGATGGCAGCGATGGGAACATAAAGAATAAAATAGATAAGGAAATAGAGAAAAGGAATTTGGATCTTTTTGCCAGCAAGGAGATCATTTGTATATCATCTAGCAAGCTTGTTGAGTCACATGTATCCAATGCCTTCAGTAAAAAGATGGATAGATAGCTATGGTAAAAATATAATAATTAAGGCTATTTATTTTAATATTGCATGCATGTGATCATCATTATTGTGTTTAGTGGTGTTTGCTTTCTTTATTGTTATATATATATTCTACTATTTTAATTATATAAATATTAATCACATCATTAAAATTAGTGTGGTTAATTGTACTTAGGGGTGTAAGTGAGTCAAATCAGCTCGAACTTGGCCCAGTAAAGAGCTCGTAGGACAAGTTTATAAAGTCATGAGATCCAGTTTGAACTTAACTTGGAGCTCATTAATTATATGAGCATGAGCTTAACCTAGCTAGACTTGTCGGCTTGGTGTAACACATTTGTATTTGTATTAGTATAATTAAATATTTTTTATCCATGTTCAAATAAGAAACCAAACTTCAAAAAGAGTCAATTTCGAGCTTCAGTATTTGAGTCGAGATCGAGCCTCATATTGTTCAGTTGAGTCAAGCTCAAGCTCAATAAATGAGCTCAAGGCGAACTCGAGCTCAACTTCAAACTCATCATAAATTAAATGAGAAGCAATAACCCGACTCACCCACCATTGCTTAGCTTGGTTGGTGGGTGAGTACGGTTGAGTATCCCTCAACCCGTGTTTGATTCCCCTCGAGCGGCAACGCCTTTTCAGTGTGGCACAAATAAACGTGGGCCATGAGGTTATTGTAATGGGTGCCTCTTCTAGGTCAGCCGAGGATTAGTCACACCGCCCAACCCCTCACAAGCTGACCTGGCAGTAGGTGGATACCCCGTTCCCAAAAAAAAAAAAAAAACCGGCTTGGCTCGTCAACACCCCTAGCTGCATCTATTAAAAGAAAGAGAGAGAGAGAGAGCTTCCAATTTGAATAATGGATAAGAGCTGGAACGAAAGCTATTCATAATTTGGCTGTTAGACAAATATTAGTATATTAATTTGACTGACATGGAATTAAAATAGTTAGAATCTGTCGAGTGTGCCAAAAAATTTTATAATAATCCCCACCTGATCCTAATCCTAAAAGATGAGCCTAAATATAAGAGATAGAATACTGACTAATTTGATTGACTTGTTGATTACATCCTATCCAATGGACATATAAAAGTCATGTGCTCGATCAAAGACATCCAATTTTGAAAAAATATATTATATCTAAATCAGATTTTGCGTTAACTTTTGTCGCAATTTGTGTACTGGTTGCTAGTTTGAAGCTTTGAATTTGAATTTTTACTTACAGTGTACTCTTTATATAAGATAAGATGGAGAGAGAGAGAGAGCTAGAGAAACTATTTTTTTAGAAGGTTAATAGCATTTTTTTCTACTATTTTGCATCATTTGCCTTCATAATTTCATTTATTATTGAATAATTCTGATAATTATGAAGAAAATATTATAAAATAAACTGATTTTAAAGAATCAAGTAATTGAGTATAAACACTGAAATCACTGAAGCATATTACATAGCTCACTTTGATCAATTTGTTGAGAGCTTAGGCTTTCATCTAAGAGGTTTTTGATTGTATGCGTTGTGTGTGTGAATTTATCTTAAATGATCTAAAACGGAATATATGGAGTGTAATTTTAATAGTAATAGACCTAGTGAGGGGATTATGACTTTGGGCGATCAAGTCATTCATAAGAGTACACGTTTTAGATATCTTGGATCTATTGTTCAGAGTGATGGTGAAATAGATGGGGATATTATTAGCAGAATTCAAGTTGGATGGTTGAAATGGAGGAATGCATCAGGCTTGTTATGTGATAGAAATGTACCCCTCAAACTTAAGGGAAAATTCTATAGAATGGTAGTGAGGCCTGCAATGCTTTATGGTGTCGAATGTTGGCCATTAAAAGAGAAGCATAATACTAAGTAAAGTGTGGCAGAGATGAGAATGCTCAGGTGGATGAGTGGCTTTACCCTTAGAGATAGATACGAAATGAGCATATACGTAAAAAGGTTGGAGTTGCTCCAGTAGAAGATAAGATTAGAGAGAGTCGCGTTAGATGGTTTGATCACATAAAACGGCGGCCTTCTGATGACTTGGTTAGGAGAGTAGAGGTATTAGATTTGACTTATGTTAAGAAAGGTAGGGGTATACCTAAAAAGATTTGGTTAGAAAATATTAGGAATGACATTTCTTTATTAGATTTAAACGAGAATTTGACTTTTAATAGGACACAATGGAGAAAAAGGATTCATGTAGCTGACCCCACGTAGTGGGATAAATGCTTGTTGTTGTTGTTGTTGTAATATAAATGTTCCAAAATAAACTGAAGTAGATTAGTTCCATTGAAATTAAAAACAAATATTAATTAATTTACTTGGAAGCTATTTAAGCATTTAAAGAAAGGATACCTATGAACACTATGGCCGATGGTTTACAGGAACAGAATATTGACCGGCATTCAAAGCCCAAGTTTGACTTATCATGTTGGGCGCATTTTTGCTGAATATATGTTTTCGATGCTAAAATGCACCACTGTAGGCCAAGTCATTAGCAGCCCTTTTGTCTGACACGTGGCAGGTTTTTTCACAGAGTCATAAAACTGGTGCAGTGTGCATTTAATGTCGTAGTTATTTTAACATTAATGCTTTCTTATCATTTTTGAATCATTTACTGAAAAATTATTTAAATATTTCTTTAAAAAATCATTTAAATAAATTATGAGTTTCTTTGATATAACTTTAAAAAAATAGTGAAAAAATAATAACAAAAAAATAAAGCCTATAAACAAAACTAAGAAATTTTTTTATCACATTTCTAGCAAAAGATTATTATATTTTTTTTAAACAATTTTTTCACTACTTTTTAAAATTGTAATAAAAAAATACTCTAAAAAGAAGAAGAAAACTATTTCAAATGGAGTTATAATTTCCCCCACAATTTATTTAATAAATGAAAATAGAAATATATACTTCCCTATATGAAAAAAAAAAAACAACACATAATTATGATTTCATAAACTCCAAAATTTTCATATCTCATCTTATGAATTTTTAATTAATAAAAAATGTAATTATAGGATTATTATCCGTTATTTTATGCCATAAAAAGCATAATCCATTTATGACCAAAAAAACTAGCCCAGTCAAATTATTCACTTTCATAACTTTCACATCAATTCCATATTATAAATGCATCGATTGGTAATTTTAACCAACTTCTTAATGAAATGAAAAAAAAAAAAAAAAGGAATTGGAATTTAAAATTATAAAAGGCTTTTTCAAGCCAACCTATCCTTCGCAAAAGTTAGAACAGTGAAAATAGCACAAAACAAAATGCCTTTTAATATATGTAAGCTAATTAAGGGAAAGAGGAGAAGAGAGGAAATATTAAGTAAACTAACCTCCATTGAGCCAAAGAACCAGGGGCTTCCCATGAGCATTAATGGTTGCCTCAGTTAGCCAATAGAAGAGAGCCCTTCCATGCTTCTCATTCACCACCACATAGCCGGAGAACTGCTCGAAGTTCACCGGAGGCTGACCAGGTAATTCGTTTATTCTATCAAATGCAGCTTCCCCATTGATGCCGGCTGCGGCCGAGGTGATGAAATGAGGAAGAAAGGTGATGCAATGAGGAAGAAACAAGAGAAAGAGAAGCAAGGGTACTCCGGCTGAGGATCTCATGATAAGAAGACTCAACTCTCTTTGAAAGCTGTCTTTCTTTCTTTGTCTTCCTGAAGCTCTAAGAGCTGATATGTTTAGTAGTCGTTGAAGAATGGGATTTTGCTGAGGTTATCAGATACTGGTTGCTGCCTAGTGAGCGGTAGCTTGCAGGTATGGCTGGAGCTATAAGTGGACCTTCTCTGAACAGTCGAAGGAATTTATTAGAGAGGATTTTGGCGTGGGTATTTGTGTGGGTGAGAGGTAGCTAAGCTGTATTAGCTATTATACTTGCTTCAGTGCTAACTACTAAATTGAATGCTATAGATCTTCCTGTTCTTCTCTCTCTTTCTCTCTCTCTATTGCAGTCTTTGAGTGTGTTTGACTAAACATGTATGACTACTGTATTACTTCGGGAGTGTGATGATAGGAGTGGTCCCTGCGGTTGGTGTGGATATTTAGAATTGTGTCACTTAACCTTTGGTTTTGATTTGCCTCCGTCCACAAGCCACAAGATTTTTTTGGGGGACATTTAGAGGAATAAAGATAAACTCATATATATTATTATTGAGTTCTGGAGTATTCACGATGATAGAGAAATATGAAGTTTAACGTCTTAGCATTCTATGAAGATACCAGCACGCGCACAGATAAAATAGAGGGTGTAGCATTCATAAGAGACACTAGAGTTTTTACGTGGAAATCTCTTTAAAAGGGGAAAAACCACGGAGCCTAACCCATTTTGAATGAATCAACTGGTATTTGCAATCAATTACAAATAAGGTCATTCTTAGGGAGAAGGCCTTGGCTTGATGTCACAAATGTATGTCATCATCTAGAGCGCATTACATGGTGGGAGTTATAATAATCAACATAGACATATTTGTTTGGTTGGAAGGGCCATAGTCGGCACAATACAGGGGTCCGAAAGAACATAGTTGATAGGAGATCGGGGTTAGAAAGACTGTTGTCTGGTGATGGAGGTCGGAATGATCATAATCGGTAGAAGACAAGGGTCTGAAAGACCGTACGTAGTAGAAGGGAGGTACTTCGGGAGAACCCTCGATGTCAAGTGGTGTCCGGGCAGATTGATGTAGCAAATATACATCATATAGATTGCATTATATAGTACAAATTAGAAGAATCAGTATGGACAAAATCATTTAGTCAGCAGGACCATAGATGGCAGGCAACAGAGGACGTAAAGACTGTAGTCAAGTGATGGTGGTCGGAAGAGTCGTAGTCGGGCGATGGAGCTCAGAAGGACCATAGTAGAAGGGTGATAGTGATCATAAAGACCATTGTTTGGTGACGGAGGTCGGAAGGACCGTAGTAGGCAGGCGACAGAGATCGAAAAGATCGTATTCTGGTGATAGAGGTAGGAAGGACTGTAGTTTGATGACAGAGGTCGGAAAGATCATAGCGGCGGGCGATAATGGTCAGAAAGATTATTGTTGGGTAATGGTGGTCGGAAGGACCACAGTCGACTGGCGACGGAGGTCAGAAAGCTTATTGTTAGGCGATGGAGGTTGGAAAGATCATAACCAGCATTCGATGAAGGTCAAAAAGGCCTTATCAGGTCACAAAGGTCGGAAAGACCGTAGTAAGTGGGCGATGAAGGTCAGAAGGATCACCGTTGGCATGTAATGGAGGTCTTAAGGATTGTAGTCGGCGGGCGACATTGGTTAAGAAGATTATTATATGGTGATGGGGGTTAGAAGGATCGTAGTCGGCAGACGACGGATGTAGGAAAGAATGTAGTCTGACAACAGAGGTCGAAAGAACCTTAGTCGGCGAGCGACAGTGGTTAGAAAGATTGTTGTCAAGCGACGGAGGTCGAAAAGACCATTGTCAGACGATGGAGGTTAGAAAGACTGACGATAAAAGGTGGTCGGGCGTAAGTCAAGCAATAATTTGTTGTCGAGTAGAAGTCCAATGAAAGTCCGATTATGGTTGGTGGTCGGCCGTAAATTAGGAAATAATTGGTGGCCAGGCTGAAGTCCGATGAAGTTAGTGGCTGCGAATAAGTTTGGCGATAGTCCGACAACAATGAGTGGCTGGGCGGCCACACTTGATTTTGAGTGTTTGGATGGTCTTGATTGGATCATATGACATGATTTAACCAAGTTTGATGGTTTGATCAAGTCCAATCAAGTGTGATTTGGCTTATGATGGGTTTGGAAAAAATTCAAGGTGTATAGTTGAATGGTCTTGGAGGTTTAGAAAGCTTGATTGGATTGGATTTGACTATACATGGTGAACTGACCATATGTTGATCGGATTTGACCAGACATGGGTTTGGTTGACCAAGTAAATTGTTGACTTTGTTAGGGTGACCAATCAAGCCCAAATCACTAATGGATGTCATCAAGGTATTTGAAAAGAGTTTAAGATAGGTTTGGAGCTCAATTGATTATGAATAAGGCTTAAAAGTTGATCTGGTCAACTAGGTCAAACTAAGGGTTTGGTTTGAGCTCAACAATTTTATTTTGATCATTGGAGATTAATGGATGTGGTGTCATGAGTTAGAATGATCATTTGGGTCAAAATTACCATTTGGATCCTTAAGGGGCCATTTGGCCAACCAGGTTGGACCATGGCATGGGTTTCAATCCAAAAGATTTAAAATAACATTTTGAGTCAATGTACATGGTCCCATGCAATGGTGAAGACATTTGAATTAAAATCATCATTTAAGCCCTTAAAGGGCAATTTGGTCAAAACATATTTACTTAGTCAATTAGGTTTGACCAAAGCTAGGTTGAGTCCAATATACTTCTAATGGTGTTTAGGATGCATTATAAGATATTTTAGGATTTGATTTGACTGTGCCATGTTGAATGTTTAGTTGAAACTTCAATTTTGCCCTTAAGGGGCATTTTGCTCATTTTAACCCATGGTTAACTGAGGATCGAATTGGGTCCACCAAAATGGAGTTTTATACTCAACATATTATAACAAAGGATATGAACATGATCAAAGGTCTAGAGGAAGGTTCCAAGGTCAAATTCTAAAAAGTGACAGGTCTAGTGGCATATGCTGTAAATATTTAAAGGTTTTGCAACATTTGAAAATTAATTTAGTTTATGAGGCTAGAGATGTCAGATTGAACTCAAATCTTGAGGGTTGAACCTAGATATGTGCCTAATCAATATGTAATTAATAGATTATAAATCGAGGGTCATTTGATTGAGTTTTAAAGTGGTTAAAAAATCACTCAAAAAGGGTTTCATAACATAGGCCTTTAGCCCTAGATTTTGGTCTGGAATTCTGGATTTGAGCAGGATTTTAGATTTGATGGATTAAATTTGAAGTATCCAAATCAATCATAATCAGTTAAATGATTGGGTAGGGTTGAATTTCTATTGGAGATTGATTGAAGATTGATTGGAATATAGATTGGAGATTAATTGGGGTTTGATTGAACAATGATTGAAGTACGGATTAATTAAAATTTGGATTGAAGTTTGAATTAATTAAAGTTTGGATTGATTGAGATCTAGATTAAATGAAGCTTGAATTGATTGAAGTATAAATTGAAGTCTAGGTTGGAGATTGAGTTAAAGTATGGGTTGAAGATTGAATTGTTCTAGATGATTGACAACTTGATAATTGTCAGTTGTCAACCATTTGATCAATATGTAAAAGTCTGAATGGATCATAGTGACCTCATATAAAAATGAGGTCAACACCGACCCGACAGGTAACCCAGATTTTACCGGGTCGAGTCCTCTCATAGTCGCGCATTACGTGCAAGCGATAAAGTGGGCCAGTGGGAGAGGCAGACGACTGGACTAGTCCTCTTCCAGTCTCATGGTATCAAGAACCATTACGAACGGGCCGAGTGCCGGCGGTGCTGAGCTAGTTTAGGGTTGTGGTGGCGCAGTGTGGAGCTAGCCTAAGGTTCAGACATCTGACCGAGCGCCAATGGCGAGACAACGAGGCTGCATAATAGAAGGATTTCTACAGCGGGAGTTAGGGTCAAGTCGATTTTGGTTCATTCTCGGGTTTTCAAGTTAACCCGAACTCAACTCGATTTTTGAAACATGTCAGTTTGTTGAACACGAATCCGACCCGTTTGACAAACCGGATGACCCTAACCTGAAATTCTTGGGTTGCATTCAAGTCGAGTTTTCGGGTCGTGTTAAATATTGACACCTCTAGTTTTTGAGTTAGAGACTTTATAATAAAATTAATTTCTTCTCAACATTGCAATAATGAAAATATATTTCAACATATTTGAAATTTTTATTGTGAAGTTGTCATGAAAAAAAATAACTTAATTAATCTGATTGTAATAAAAATAGTTATTTATCACATTAATTTTAAAAAATTGTGAAAAAATTAATAAAAATTAATAATCAAATAAAATTATAATTATTATTTGAAAACAAAATAGTGAAAAGCTCTTTCAAACAAATCCATTACCATTATCATAAAGTTGCAAGTTCCTATGCCTTTTACCTTTACTAGCCAATATTATGAAGGCTTATAATTTCTTCTGAAAATTAGTTGGACGAGTGCAACAGTTTTTATATATATATATATATATTTAGATCAATTAAATCAAATTCATACACATATTATATATTCAAAATCTCTTAATTGATAGTCAAAATTCTTGATCAAAACTCAAAGATTGACAGATATTTGTTATGGAATATATTCATCTTAAAAACTAATATAATTACGATGGTTTATAATGCACACCACATCTCTGCCTTAGGAGAAATTATTACGTGCAAAGTCTGGACGTAGATCTATGTCCTGATTCCAATAAAAATATGACACATATTTTAATACAAGTTGTGTATAAATTTGTATTTATACACAATATATATTGGTAGATATATGGTTGTTTAGGAGTAGTACTTTCTTTTAAGGCATGTAGCCTTTTATGTGGCCTAATTGTCTATAAATACTTGTAGCAATTGCTTGTAATGACAGCTTTTGAGATATGAATAAAATTTGAGTTTAGTTTGTTCGCTTGCAAAGACAATCAAGTTGCCGGTGCAAATTCCATTGCGATAAGTGAAATTTGTATTTCTTTGACACTCTTGTGCTATTTTTTGTTTGATTCACATCTTCTCTAGCGATCCCGACCATAAATTTAAATTTTATTTAGTTTCTTGAGAAATCCTCAAAATCCCTAATCAGTATAATCAGTTCTTTTTTCTTTTTAACTTATGCATAACATCTTGATAATTTTTGTTAGACCTTAGAAGTTTATATTCTAACGAGTAAATTATTTTTAATGTATGTTTCCAGGGCTTCAAGCGAACCAAACGTTCGACGAGCTACTCGTTGTTCGGTTCGATTAAAGCTCGTTTGTGATCATTTAATTAGCTAAACAAACAAACTTGAACAATATTTTAAATACTCGATTCTTAAATAAACAAACTTGAACACTAATGCGTTCGGCTCATTTATGTTCACGAACAACATCATTTGAAGTTCGTGAACAAGCTCGACATTAAGCTCGATAAGAAGCTTGATAAAAGCTTGATTCATGTTCGATTTTGAACTCGTGAATAAGCTAGATAAAAATAATTAATATTTGACTATAAAATTAATAAATATAAATAATCATTGCCTTTGTTACATAGACAATTGCTTTTATTATGAATGTGTTTGTTCATAGATATGTTCATGAACGTATTTGTTTAATAGTTAAAAAAAATTCCTTAAATATGTTCGCGAACAAGCTTGATAAGCACTAAACGAACGAACATGAACTGAACATGAACTGAACATGAACACTCATTAATTTAAATGAACCAAACATGAACACAAACAATAAAGCTCGAACAAACATGAACCAAACTTGAACAAGCTTATATTAAATGAACACAAACATGAACACTCACATACTCGGCTCGGCTCAGTTTGTTTGCAGCCCAAGGCGCAGATGAACAGTGCAACGCCAATATTGACGTTACACTGTTCATCCGCGATCAAATGACTTCAAAAATGACAGTAAGTTGGAGCAAAGCAAGAACGACAAAAATGTTTACCGTTCCATTGGAGTTGCCCTTAGGATAACTTCATAATGAGCTCTTGGGACTTAGTCCAATATTAGTACGGATTGTGTGGACATGCAAACTCTTAGAGCTTATGTTATCGATTTCAATAGAAAGTGGGATTATCACTTAATGCTGGTAGATTTTGTCTGTAGTAATAGCTCAAAGAAGAAACCTTCCGTATTTCGTCGTTAAATTGTCATATCTGCCATTCCGTATTTCGTCGTTAAATTGTCATATCTGCCATCGATCGCCGCCGAATCCCCTTTCCAGCTATCTCCGATCTCTCCTCTTCTCCGATGGCTGCGGCGGAGCTTAAAGAAAGTCTCCTCCCACCAATACCCTCAACATCCTCTTCCTACACCAGCGCCAATGTTTCCTCCAGCCGACGCCTCTTCTTCCCTGGCATGGACGTCATCGGCCTCAAGAAGCGTGGCCAGGGCCTTCGCTCCTGGATCCGCGTCGATGCTAGAACAGGAATCTCACAGTCTATCGAGCTCGACAAGTTCTCGATCATGAAGCGCTGCGACCTGCCGGCGCGCGATATCCGCCTCCTCGACCCGCTCTTTGTGTACCCCTCCACGATTCTCGGCCGCGAGCGGGCGATCGTTGTAAATCTCGAGCAGATCCGCTGTATAATTACTGCCGATGAAGTCCTTCTTGTCAATTCCCTGGATCCCTACGTGCTGCAGTATGTTGAGGAGCTGGGGCGCCGCATAGCCGCAAACAAGGGGCAGGATACCGTTTCCTTCGGTGGCCGGGCTGCGTTGCCGGATTACCTGCCGTTTGAGTTTAGAGCTCTTGAGGCCGCGCTCGAGGCTGCTTGCACGTCTCTTGATTTGCAGGTGTGGTAGATTTTGTTCTTATGGATTTAGTGTAAGATAATGGGACGTCATCCTATTAGGGTTCTCAATTTGAAACATTGGAGGGAAAATTTATTATTTCCATGTATTGCAAAACCGATAGCAGCATGCATGCTTGTTTTTAGTACTTCAAAGGAATGCTCTACTGGTAGCTTCCAAGTATTCCTTTGGCTTGGAAATGGGAAGAAAACGGATGTTTCTTTGAGTTAGAACATTGTTATGTCTTGGTTGTTATTAACTCTACTCATATATAACTGTCAATTGTACGTCCCTGTTTAAATTTGATGCTCATTTAAGAGTTTGTTTGTAAGGAGATTTATCTCGTAATTGACTTACAGGGGTTCGTACCTCCATTTCCCTTTTTTTTCTTTTTAAGAAATAAGATTATGTTATAAAATTAGGATAAAAAAAGGCTATTTAGGGATCAATATCATACAATTTTCCTTTGGGGGATTTACAAACATACCATAAAATTATTATTTATTTATCTTATGCCTAACAACAACAACAACAACATCAAGCCTTTATCCCACTACGTGGGGTCGGCTACATGAATCCTTTTTCTCCATTGTGTCCTATTAAAAGTCAAATTCTCGTTTAAATCTAAAAAAGAAACGTCATTCCTAATATTTTCTAACCAAGTCTTTTTAGGTCTACCCCTACCTTTCTTAACAGAAGTCAAATCTAATACCTCTACTCTCCTAACCGCACCATCGCAAGGCCGCCGTTTTATGTGACCAAACCATCTAAGGCGACTTTCTCTAATCTTATTTTCTACTGGAGCTACTCCAACCTTTTCACGTATATGCTCATTTCGTATCCTATCTCTAAGGGTAAAGCCACTCATCCACCTAAGCATCCTCATCTCTGCCACACTTAACTTAGTATTATGCTTCTCTTTTAAAGGCCAACATTCGGCACCATAAAGCATTGCAAGCCTCACTACCATCTTATAGAATTTTCCCTTAAGTTTGAGGGGTACATTTCTATCACATAACAAGCCCGATGCATTCCTCCACTTAAACCATCCAACTTGAATTCTGCTGATAATATCCCCATCTATTTCCCCATCACTCTGAACAATAGATCCAAGATATCTAAAACGTGTACTCTTATTAATGACTTGATCGCCCAAAGTCACAATCCCCTCACTAGGTCTATTACTACTAAAATTACACTCCATATATTCCGTTTTAGATCTACTCAAGCGAAAACCTTTAGACTCTAAGGTTGACCTCCATAATTCAAGTTTACCTTCAACTCCCTCTCTAGTCTTATCAACAAGAAGAATATCATCAGCAAAAAGCATACACCAAGGTACATCCTCTTGCAAATGTCTAGTGAGAACATCCATGACTAAAGCAAAAAGATAAGGGCTTAAGGCTGATCCTTGATGTAACCCAACCGAAATAGGGAAATACTTGGTCAATCCACCTTGTGTTTGAACACAAGTAATAGCTCCTGCATACATATCTTTAATGATTTGAATATAAGCATTATTGACTCCTTTCTTTTCAAGAACTCTCCATAGCACTTCTCTTGGAACTTTATCATATGCTTTTTCTAAATCAATAAATATCTTATGCCTAAATCTTTGTATTTATTTGTGTACCACTTTAGTGCCAAAATCACATCAAAACATATTCATACAAAATATATATTTTACTTTAAAGAATTTAATTTTACTAGTATTTTATGTGATTTATAAAAATTTAGCTGTTAGATATGCAAATTTATAAGAATTTTATGGTATGTATGTAAATCCCCCTCTTCTTTTCCCTTTAAAATTCCATTTAGATTAAGATTAGTTGCCTGAATAGCAAGAGGTTAATAAGGAAGGAGAACTTTCTTTAATGATGCCCAAGGTGCTAGCATATAGTCTTTAATTATTTGGTCATCTTGAACCATTTGATTTGACACCTGTCCTGACATCAGAAGGAACAACTGGTTAAATATCAGTATCTATCAATGCTTTGTTTATCAGATGGCTCTTTTTTCTGTACTAAAGAAGTAGCTTTATTATGAACGAACGGGATTATGCATGAAAAGAGGAAATTGAAGCTGAATATATTGGAATTTAAGAAGGTCCTGTACTGATCATATGATACTGAATGATTATGAACGTTTGAATAAATATGATTATTGGAGGATTTGAATTTTTAGAGTGCAAGGAAATTCTGATAGGAGCATGACTAGAATGGAAGGGATGTGAGCTATCCTCAAAATTAATTTGGTCCACTAGCTTCAGTCTTTATGCATGAGAGAAGCCCTAGATTGTCTATCCTAAAATTTTCATCCTAAAATTTTCATGAAACCAAATGATGGAACTTAATCATTAAAAAGAATTTTATGAAGTATGAAGTGGCCGTGCTTCTTTCAAATATGAGTCATTGGGAGAACTTGCATGTAGTCTTACCCCTATGTTACTATTAGGATCGTTTTCGTACTTCCTATTCTTGATCTCCATGTGGCCATAGGAGTAATTAAAGCATCGCCTCTTGGCCCACATTTGTCCATAATATTGAACCTACATGTCATACATAATACCAAAATAATTATAATACAATAAGATATATATACATCTATCAAGAAAAAATATATGTTATTAGCATTCCATTCAACTTTTTTTTTTTTTGTTACTCTTTATATTTTTCTATTACATGACAATGAATTGGTAGAATAATAATGCACCTTAAGCATAATCGACTAGTATAATATATATATATATATATATATATATATTTGCATTTGATTGTATACATATGGAGGGGCAATCTTTGTGACTTACTTTCTTAAGTATTGAAGAAATAAACTGATCTGAGCGGCGGAATTGTACTGTGGGTTTATGTCTTGGAGACCTCTTTGTTTTGTGGAGCTTTTTATCATCACGAGCTCATTAGAATAAATCTTGCAACTTATAAAGCAGCAGAAACTGGTTAAAATATTAGAAGTGCACTCCTAACCGAAGTAATGTGCTGATATTCATGAGAAGCATGCAAACGTATGTATCAAGGCATTATTGTGGTACTTTGGTAGCAAATACTTATTTCCTTATCTTGTTAGTTGGCCCGAACAAATAGCTCTGCTATATCAACCTACCAAGGAATAAAATGTGGTACCATAGTGGGCATGTCATGATTGCAGCCAATAGAAGAACATAAATATAAATGGCTAAGTAGCTCTAAAATCATACAAATTAAAGAAACAAATGAATGAGAGAGAAATGAGAGGGTATAGATATGATTTGTGACCTTCTTTTACATTTTCAGGCTATCTCAAAATACCTCTTAATGATCCATAAATTCCCCTGTCAAATGCTTAGGTTATAACTTTGTTCTTATCTTACATTTTACAAGTGACTGTTAAATGAGTACATTATAAAACAACAACTATTAATTTGGATCTTGGAAAGTTTCTTTTTATTCCTAACAGTCTAATCATTCACTCTAATTTCTATTACTCCAAAATTTCTTAAAGTTTTCTGGCAATTATATTATTTTGCTACTTTCCTTTTCTGCCACCGTTCAATTTATTTGGGTTGTTTATCCTGTTCTGCTCATTCATTGATGTTGTTCTGTATAAATTTGCTAGTTCGCGCCACTCATCTTCTCCATCTTCCAGATATCTTTGTTCTTTAAAATGTGCTTAGCATTTATCTGCTTTCCCTTGCGTGTTAGTCGATATAAATACTTATGCATTAATTAATTTTAACGTTAACGTTTTGATTTTGTTGTGTATGCTCTTTAAATGTCTCCCATAATCTCCTTCAATTCTTACAAATTATGGCAATGCAAAAGTCGTATGCTAAAAGAAAATTTACGAGATGTGCCCTTTTTGGAAGAGCTCCTAATATTTTTTACCTCTCTATTTTACTGATGAGCTCTTTTATGCATCATAGTGATGCGGAACTATAGCACCTATTTGGCCTGGTTGTTTGTACAAGTTGTGTCTTATATCTACGGGCTATTGACTTGTTACGGATCTTTCCCTTTTGTGGGTGCTTTACGTCTTTTGCTTTTTCCTGGTTGCTTGTACTAAGCTACTTATCTACGATTTTTTTAATTGTCTTGTTTTGTGTGAATTGTTCTGTATTACATAACAGCTTGTCAAAGTAGCTTAAGAAAATTTGCCTTTTGCAAACTAGATTGGATTCAAGACATTTGATCTTTGTTTATGTTTATTTATTTATTTATTTTCATTTTTGATGTCATTGTCTTCATCATAATAATTTGATTGTCTAATCTCAACTATTTATGGTTGGCTCTATAAATCTTTATTTTTATTCATTCTTTCATGGTGTCATGATATATGTTCTAAATGTATTTTAAACATTGTCATTGCTAGATCACAAGTCCTGGATGAGAAAACTAGAGGGTTGTATTAGGTAATCGACAACCAACGTAAAACTTGTCATTTTTTTTAGATTTAAATGAGAATTTAACTCTTAACAGGACACAATGGAGGAAAAAAAGGATTAATGTAGCCGACCCCACATAATGGGATAAAAGCTTGATGTTGTTGTTGTATTCTCCAATATTAAGTCCAAACCACTCAAGTCTATTTTTATATATTTTTAAAATTTCTTGGTGAGTAAACTTCAATGAATTCTTTTTGAAATTTTGCTCGTTTCAGGCTGAAGACTTACAAGTTGAATCATATCCTTTTTTAGATCAACTAACATCCACAATCAGTACCAAAAACTTGGAACTTGTTCGTCGTTTAAAAAGCAGACTTGTTGCTTTGACCAGAAGGGTTCAGAAAGTATGCCATTGGTTCTTCTATAGCTCATGCAGATTTGTTTCCTTTGTTCTTCGCTGATGATTCAAGTTATTTTGTGAAGGTGAGAGATGAGATTCAGCAGTTGATGGATGATGATGGGGATATGGCTGAAATGTACCTTACTGAAAAGAAAATCAGGATGGAAAATTCATTCAACGATGATCAGCCTTTGCCAGTCTATAATTCTGCTGGCCCTATAGTTTCTTGTTCTGCTCCTGTTACTCCTGTTTCTTCCCCACCTAAACCTAGGAAACTTGACAAAACCATGAGCCTTGCTTGGAGTAAGCAGAGTATCAGCTCAAGGAGTTCAGAAAGTAGTGCTGAAACGATAGATGAGCTCGAAATGTTGTTAGAGGCCTATTTTGTGGTTATTGATGACACTCTGAACAAGCTAACATCGGTAATCACTTGTTTTTTTTTTCCTTTTTTTTTTGCTTCGTTGTTTTTGCATGGTTGAGATATGCTTTAATTTGTCTTTGCCCTCTTTCAGCTGAAGGAATACATTGATGACACAGAGGATTTCATCAGCATTCAGCTGGTATTTTCCTTTTGCTATTCCTTTCAATTTAATTGATTTTAGCCCTGAATTGAATATTCTACTTGACCTTCCATGTTAAAAATGGTCATAAGATGACGTTACATAGCAGTTCATTAAAAATAGGTGGTGATAAAATATCTCATGCGCCAAATTTATGAAGGGTGGTTTAAAGCCCTGGACGGCTTTGATCCGTGGAATGAATCTCATTGATGTAGCTGATCTAAAGGAGAAATTATTTGGTGCGGAGTCCAGACGTAACTCTACGTCCGGACTCCAATTAAATTTGGACATGTGGATATTCACTGAGCTCTTTTGTAAGGAAAATTTCTTAGAAATTTATAATGTGTAATTCATTGTGTTTTTGTTGTCCTTTTGTTGCGTTTTTACTGTGCTTTTGCTTCCATTTTGCTGCGCTTTCACTTTTGCTACCCTTTCACTATGCTTTTGCTGTCCTTTTGCTGCGCTTTTATTTTTGTTGCTCTTTTGCTATGTTTTTGCTTTGTGAGCAGTGAAATGCCGCGATGAAAAATAAAATGACCTAAAAAAATGAAATCCAATTGAATCTCCACGTGTCCACTACACTTGTCAAAATTTAATTGGAGTCCGGACGTAGAGCTAGGTCCGGACTCCGCACCAAATAATTTCTCGATCTAAGGCCTTAAACATATTTCACAGTAATTTTCATAGCACTAGTAAAGTACTATATTGTCTTGGAGCTGCGTTGATGAGAACTGAATAAACCAGAAATCTAATGCCATTCCTTCCATCCTTTTATTATATTACACAGCATAGATGCTTCTCTCTCTCTCTCTCTCTCTTTATATATATATATATATATATATATATATATATATATATATGATCATCATCAAACATCCCATTGGATTCGGGTTCAACTATATTTTTCTCGAACAACTGACTTTATTCTTTCAATTCTACTTTCGTTAGAAAAACAGAAAATGGTCCATGCCACAGCTAATTTATGATGTTTTCAGGACTCTGTTCAGAATCAGCTCATCCAATTTGAGCTGCGACTAACAACTGTAACATTCATTACTGCAATATTTGGTGTGGTTGCTGGAATATTTGGCATGAACTTCGAAGTCCCATTGTTTGAGGAACCATTTGCATTCCTATGGGTACTCGCTACCACTGGAGCTTGTGGGCTGTTGATATTCTTAGGCTTCTTTTGTTATTTCAGGTACAGAAGACTAATGCCAATGTAAAGATCAAATGGATTTCTGGAGATAAGTGTCCTCCGATCATTTTGTTATAAAATTTTATTGGATTTTTGTTTCAAATTCATATTTTTTGCTCTTGGAGAAAAATGATAAAGTTTTGAAATTACATAGCCCAACTTGATCTGTTGGATGAGAGCTTTAGCTACTAACGAATATATGTATGAGTTTAACTTAATTGGCTCAAATGTTCAAAAAAAGTGATGAAATTATAGATGTTTTTCAGGTTTAGCCTAAAATACATTTCTTAGGCAAATAATCTTTTTTATTTTATTTTTAAGATTCAGGTTTCGTTTGGGATGACTTTTTTATTACTTTTTAAAGCATTTTTTTAGTTAAAATATTTTAACTAACACATGAAGAATGAGTGTACTTGGGGATGTTCGGTTGCAATTATTTATAATTTAGATATATTTTACATGCATAAAATAAATTCAATGCATTTAAAATATTTTTTACTTGGTTAAATAAATTTAGGCGATTATTTTTTTATATTTTGGAATAGGGCTGCAAGCGAACCAAACGTTTGACGAGCTACTCGTTATTCGGTTCGATTAAAGCTCGTTTGCGATCGTTTAATTAACTAAACAAACAAACTTGAACAATATTTTAAATACTCGATTCTTAAATAAACAAACTTGAACACTAATGCGTTCGGCTCATTTATGTTCGCGAACAATATTATTTGAAGTTCGTGAACAAGCTCGATAAGAAGCTCGTTTCGTGTTCGATTTTGAACTTGTGAATAAGCTCGATAAAAATAATTAATATTTGACTATATAATTAATAAATATAAATAATCATTACATTTGTTACATAGACAATTGCTTTTATTATAAATGTGTTTGTTCATAGATATGTTCATGAACGTGTTTGTTTGATAGTTAAAAAAATTCGTTAAATATGTTCGCGAACAAGCTCGATAAACACTAAATGAACGAACATGAACTGAACATTAACCGAACATGAACACTCTTAATTTAAATGAATCAAACATGAACACAAACGCTAAAGCTCGAACAAACATGAACCAAACTTGAACAAGCTGATATTAAATGAACACAAATATGAACACTCACATACTCGGCTCGTTTCGTTTGCAGCCCTATTTTGGAATGCTATGATGTGAATGTTTTTTTCTAACTTTTTTCCCCTGTTAGGGAACAACGAATTAAGGATCAGCTTTAGGCTACAATTGGTAGGCATCATGATGTGGAGGCCATGAAGAGCTTTATGATTTGGTTTATTCTGAATTTTTGCCCAGTTAGGGCGAACTCAGAATACACTGAAAAATGATCTATTATAGGGGTTTGGAATTCTTCAATTTTTTTTCTTAATTAGTTTAATCTCAACTAAACATTCAAAAATTAAACTTTCAGCATTTTAATTAGAATACACTCAAAATACTGTCAACTAAATGGCCTTTAAATTGGGGAGATTATAGTTGGAAAATTATTAATAGTTGTTTCTTGATTATGGGGTATTTGAAGGGCAAGTTTTGAAAGACAACCATGAGGATTAGCTTGGCAATGGTTAGGTTGAAGGTTTGTGCAAGGTAAAGGGTATAGAAATCTTAAGGAAGAGAATTGACTGTATGGTTTGGTATTTATAGTCATGAGATTGAGGTGATGATGACATGGCTACAAACTTTGTCTATGACATGAGGCATTGAGGTTGGCATGTCCTTTTTGACAGAAATTGTGGTATGCACACCTTGGCAATGTAGAAGCAATGAGCTTGTGTTATTTGAGTGCATGTGCATAATAAATGGTGACTCATTGCCCTGACATGAAATCATTTAACGACATAAAATGAGCTCAAGAGCCCAGCAAGTTACTAAAATCCTATAATTGAATTCAAAGTACGGTAAGTAAGTAGTAAGAATGTTGTCAATTAATTCAAAATAATAACAATTATATGATCAATAATCAATACATAAATAGTAAAACTTGCATGAAATAGCAATAGAGTCTATAAATGGTAAATTAGTACGACATGAAAACCAGTAAAATAGTACAGTGGAAAAAGCATCAAATCAATATGGGTGTTGAATTGATAAAACAATTATCGTATCACTAATATCAATCAGTAAAGAAATTGTATAAAGTGATAAAATCAAAGCATCAGTAAAGTATGTCGAAATCATGTTAATGCAATAAAACCTTATAATGATATACATATGTTATACAATTAATATATATTAATATCAAATCAATATTTTAATCACATGCTTAGTCTACACGTGCTTAGTATATCACATGCTCAATATTAGTACAAAGAATCAATAATCATAATAGTAACAATGAATCATTAATAATATCAAACAATATCGATGGTCATATCGATAGCAGTATCAATATAATGTTGTCAGTAAAATCGATGGCAATTAAAGTAAAGCAATGTAGTAACAGTAATTATTAATAATAACAATAAATCAATATAGGATTAGTAAAGACGGACAATAACAGTGAATCTATAACATGTATTTCGATGATCACACTTAAATAAGTAAGAAATCCTGGCTTAAACGGTGTTTTACAGTATAAATAATCTTTAATAGATAATTGTTGGCTTAGTAAATAAAGTCGTCACTCTTTTGTCAGTTAGCATAGTAATAACTCATTATCACTCCCAATCAGTATCACATGAATTAGTCGAGGATATCACTAAATTACATATTTAAAGGAAAACTTATCGGTCCACCATCATGTACATGTCAATCAATGTTCAACTAATGAGTGAACCAGTCTTTACTTAACTTTTACACATATTACAATAAAAATAATAACGATTAGCTATTACCCAATTACATATATATTTTTATTCTCAATGGTTTTATTAATAGCTTAATTATCGGTCCACCATCATGTACATGTCAATCAATGTTCAACTAATGAGTGAACCAGTCTTTACTTAACTTTTACACATATTACAATAAAAATAATAACGATTAGCTATTACCCAATTACATATATATTTTTATACTTGTTTTATTAATATTATGCTTAAATAAAAATACTTAATTTATATAGAGTGTAAATCATAAAAAATTCAATAACCTTTATTTTATATGATAACATTCAGAAATATTACAATAAAAATATTCAGGATAATCAATATGATAACATACAAAAAATTGTGCGGTAAAAAAACTCGATAAAAAAAAAAACATAAAGTAAAATCAGTTTTGAGGAGAAGTTAGTGGTCAAAATTAAAATATTTGAAAACAAAGATAGGATTAAAATTACCTACTTCGATCTGAACAATATTTGTAAAAGGGACAAAACGATCCAAAGACCAAAAATTCAGATCTCCCTTAAGGATTTGGGCACAAAATCAATAAAAAAAAAATTCGCGACTTGTCTTAACCCTAGGAAGAACTCTCTTAGATCATTTCCTAATTTTGACCGGCTAGTATTAGCTAATTGACCCAAGAGAAGGTGCATACCTAATAGAGGAGATGCACCCGTTAGGAATTTTTTGAGGCAAAATAAGATGCCATTTGGCCTATACATGAATTTATGTTAAGAAAAAAGTTTATCTAAGAGGAGATGTTGGTTAGTTAATCAAGATTAATGAGTAATGAGTGTTATACTTAGTTTTGAGCTAGCTAATTTATGGCTTGACTAAATAATGGATTTAGTCCTAGGGTGATGTTATAGACTCCTTTAAGGATTAGGTTGATAAAGTTAGGGTCTTCATGATAGGCATGAAGATTGCTAACCTTACGAGAAAGGACTAGCTCGACCGTATATGAGATCCAAGGAGCTAAATATTGTAATCGAAGTTAAGAGACTTGATGATGTCAAAAGAGATTAATAAAGGTATTACAATATGGGTCATAATTATTGGCCATGGATTCTCTTGTTTTCTCTCTTTGAAGTTATGTACTCTCTTGATACTATTTTCCCATCCCAGCAGGCTGGAATCTTAATAAATCCTCTCCTATTATAATTCACCTAAGAAAATATAGATGCATTTCATATATTATCTATTATCTATAGTTTTATTGGTCTAGTTATTTCTTGCAAAGATCAATTTATTTTCTCAAAACAAATTTGAAACCAATAATGCATAATTTAGATTTTAAGTAGTTGTATACTTTTTAAAAACATAAAATACAATAAAGTATGCATGAAAAAACCCCAAAAAATAAGGAGAAGATAAGTTAGAATGAAGATAAAATACTATTTCTTGGCATCTATGCACTTGTAGATAACAAAACACTCAACATGAACAAGAAGATTGTGATTACATTACAAAATTATCAAAAATATATCAAATCATTCTTTCTATCGAATTTTTGAGTGGATACATATTCTAAAGTTAAGAAAATGAAGCCTTTTTTACCATTCCATATTCAAAGGTAAAAAAACATACGATACTATGAAGATATTTTTTATACTAGTTATGATTTAATTAATCAAATTAAAGTTGATATAAGATAAGTCATTATAATAAGATATCAAAATCATATAAATCTTTAAATCCTTAAATAAGTAGCCAAATAGTTTTTTTTTTTAATTTAATAAGATTTAACATTTATCGAATCATATAATTTTTCAGATTTATTAAATTCAAATTTATAAGATTTACAAAATCCTATTTGAGTTAAATCCTACATAAAACCAAACAACCCCTTGAGATTTTTTTTGGGGCATTTAGGTCAATTAAGAAAAACACACATACAGATCACATACATAAGGGTCGAATCTAAGACCTCTTAGTTGATAGTTAAAGCTCCAAATCAATAGACCAAGATGAGCTGTGTAAAAAAATAAAAATATTTTTTTAATTTCTCTCTTTCGAAGCTCAATACTTTATTATTCATTATTAAGATTTGTGAAGAAAAAAATATGAATTTTATTATTAATCAAAACCTATGATTCATCGATTCAAACACCATACGATATTGACATCTAACACACCTACACACCTATTATTAAGAGAAGATTTTTTTTTTTTGAAATGGTCATTAATTGGATATTTTGGACCCTTACCATACGGCCATTTTTCGGGTGACACGGCTCATTTTTTTTCCGACCCGGTCTCGAAAGGAGGAGCTCGAGAGCTTTTCGAGGGAAAGAAAACGGAGAATGGCAGCGATGGCTGCGATAGCGATGGTGGGCTCGGTATCGCCGTTCCCATTCTATTACTTTCTTTGGAACTATCCGCAAGCGTGGGTGAATCTATGCGGGAAGGGGGTCGACCCTTCGCATCGGATGGCCCAGATCTCCCACGCTTTCAAGCTTGTGCAGTTCTTCTCCATCCTCTCCGTTGCTCGGTTCTCATGGCCTCCATGGTATTGCGTCGTCCTCTTCGCTGCTGGACAGTACCTCAACTTCAGGTACGCACCTTTATGAGTCTTTCTGTTGTGTACTTGCAGAATTTTAATTAATGGTTTAATGTTATTGATAGACATGAGGAATTTAGGAAAGAGAGATTTTTGGTATGTTGAGCTAATATGGTTCACTAAAGGAGAAGGTTTTCATGATTCATTAAAGGGCGTTTTGTACAGCCAAGAAGTGTTACAGATGCATCAATTTGGGAAGTAGGCATACAACTTATTACTGTTTTTTTTTTTTTTTAAATGTTGAATGCTGTTTGTGCAAGTTGGATTCCATCCTTTGACCTTTATAATAACTTTCAAGATGTTTATCAATTAAGCTCGCTGGCACCCACATTTATTATTGATTTTGTTTGACCTACTTTTGATGTGTTGCAATGGCAATGAATGGTTGGTATTAGTATATGATGGAGTCTGAGAAAGTGCTGGTAGCCTTGATATATGAAAATTTTCTTTCACACAAGTTGCCTAAGAAACTACGCCTGCCTTGCTTGAGGATTGTTGCGCACAGGAAAAACCTCGGACATTCAAGTGTCTGCAAAGGCCAGGCTTGTTCATATTGAATTATGCGAGGAAGGATGTGAGAACCCTCCTATTGTCCTAGTTTGGTTTCAGTTAGATGGATTCATAGATATTTTGGGAGGGTCCTACTTGAGTGTTGTTGTGCAAGAAAAACCTTCGACGTTCAAGTATATGCGCAAGCAGAGACCTGTTCATATTGAATTATGTGAGGAAGGCTATGAGAACTCTCCTATTGTCCTAGTTTGGGTTTCAGTTAGATGGAGTTATTGATATTTTGGAAGGGTCCTTATGGGGAAGGATGAATGATTTACACGAAAAATCAAAGCGCTTTGCTGGTGGATTAGAATAGAATGAGTAAAAATTATTATAATCACCCTATTTATAGCCATGGACAAAGGTGTTTGAGACACTATGTTGAGTCAGTGGAACCCATTCATGCCGCCTATGTTCTAAATAATTATTTTGAGGAGTAACGGGTTTATGTAAAATGGACTAATACAATTTTTGGGCAATTTGGGATAATTACCCATTTTCTCTCCTTGCTTTGCTGGTAGACATAGCAACATATGAGATTTGGAGGATTTTGTTGAAGCTGAAGAAGTCTTGGATGTCCTTAGAATTAGAGCAATGCTGTGCGTGTGGTAGCTAAGAATTTGAAATAGATAAGAAAAAGAATAATAGGGGTCGTATTGCTAGAAATAGAATAAAATTGCACATAATATTATAGAACCACTTGCCTAAATTATGGGAATTCACTCACTTAAATAAGAGGAATCACTCACTCTTCTAAATAAAGCATTCAGTAAAATAAAAAAGTGAATAAAATTTGTCCTAAGCCTTTCTAATATTAGTGTTTATGTAGCCTAAGTAGCAATTTAAAGTGGACGAGAAATGGAGTTAATGCTTGAAGCACTAATTGTGGAGGCTCTTTCACTCACTTGCCATTGGAGCCACATTTGTTCATCATCATCCTCCTATCCATCAAGAGGTCTCATCCGTGAGTTTGGCAGAGGATTAACATAGTATGTGTATAGATTTAATATGTCACTATCCGGCCCAGCTTTAAGGCTCGAATTAATGAGGTGGTAACATATAGTTTGATAGATATTTAAAAATTTATCTATTAGTATCAACTGATATCAATTGTCTGGTTGCACAAATTTAATATATTGAAAGATTCATTGATTTATATATTTTTTGAATGATTAAAATTATAATGATTGTAAGATAAATACCTTACTCTTGTAGCTTTGTGTCTATGATATACGTTTTCTTTTCTTCAACTCATTCATTTTCACAAGACCAACTTAGTTAATACATCATATTATTAAATTATAGTAACATAATAAAAATTTGAAACAATATGCATACTTACTTTTAAACATAAAATAAAATAATATTATTTAATAACAATTATAGTTAAAGATAATTTTATAAATGATCTTGAATCATATATCATTAATAAATAAAACTCATATTGTATCATATCTTTTTTTTTTAATAAATAAGAGCTACAGTCTAAATACTATTAATTAATGTACTTCAATTTTAATTTTATTTGCTGAAAACCTTTTTCAATTTATGCTAGTCGATACATTGCATTCATAGCTACTACCATAACGAGATATACTTTATTAGTCAACATTTGCATGGAATCATCTCTATATATTCATTTCATTCTTTTTTTATATCATACAATAACTTTCTACAGTATATATGGTAATTAATTGAAGCATTATATGACATTTATCTCTTATTTTATCATGAAAATCATTGCAATGTTAAAGATAAATCATGATTGAATTTATAATATTTATGATAGCTATAGCAGCTTTATTTTTTATTTTTCTCACAATAATTTTACAATCAACAACAACAACAACAGCATCAAGCCTTTGTCCCACTACGTGGGGTCGGCTACATGAATCCTTTTTCGCCATTGTGTCATGTTAAAAGTAGAATTCTCATTTAAATCTAATAAAGAAAGATCATTTTTAATATTTTCTAACCAAGTCTTTTTTAGGTCTACCTCTATCTTTCTTAACATAAGTCAAATCTAATACCTCAACTTTCCTAACCGGGTCATCAGAAGGCCTCCGTTTAATGTGATCAAACCATCTATGGCGACTCTCGCTAATCTTGTCTTCCACTGGAGCTACTCCAACCTTTTCACGTATATGCTTATTTCGTATCCTATCTCTAAGGATAAAACCACTCATCCACTTAAGCATCCTCATCTCTGCAACACTTAACTTAGTATTATGCTTCTCTTTTAATGATGAACATTCGGCGCCATAAAGCATTGCAGGTCTCACCACCATCTTATAGAATTTCCCCTTAAGTTTGAGGGGGACTTTTCTATTGCACAACAAGCCCGATGCATTCCTCCACTTCAACCCTCCAATTTGAATTCTGTTGATAATATCCCCATCTATTTCACCATCACTTTGAACAATAGATCCAAGATATCTAAAATGTGTACTCTTATTAATGACTTGATCGTCCAAATTCTTAATCACCTCACTAGATCTATTGCTACTAAAATTACACTCCATATATTCAGTTTTTGATCTACTCAAGCGAAAACCTTTAGACTCTACGGTTGACCTCCATAATTCAAGTTTACCTTCAACTCCCTCTCTAGTCTTATCAACAAGAAGAATATCATCAGCAAAATGCATACACTAACATACATCCTCTTGCAAATGTCTAGTGAGAACATCCATGACTAAAACAAAAGATATGGGCTTAAGGTTGATCCTTGATCTAATCCAACCGAAATTGGAAAATACTTGATCAAACCACCTTGTGTTTGAACACAAGTAATAGCTCCTACATACATATCTTTAATGATTTGAATGTAAGCGTTGTTAACTCTTTTCTTTTCAAGAACTTTTCATAGCACTTCTCTTAAAACTTTATCATATGCTTTCTCGAAATCAATAAATATCATAGGTAGATCCTCGTAATTCTCTTTATATTTCTCCATCAAACCTCTCAATAAATATATGACTTCCATAGTAGACCTACCCAGTATGAATCCTAATTGATTTTGAGAAACATTAGTATCACGTCGCAACCTACACTCTATAACTCGCTCCCATAGTTTTAAAGTATGACATATTAATTTAATTGCTCTATAATTCACACACTCTTGTGCATCACATTTATTCTTAAAAATAGGAATTAACACACTCATTCTCCACTAATTTGGCATCTTTTTAGTCTTTAAAACAGTATTAAAAAGTTTAGTAAGCAAAGAAATTCCTTTATCTCCTATGCATTTCCACATCTCTATTGGAACATCATCAAGTCCAACAGATTTTCCACACTTTATTTTCTTTAAAGCCTCTCTAACTTCGGTTTTATTAATACGTCTAAAAAAACAAAAATCTTTATTTTCATTTATGGTGCTAAGATCACTAAAGTCAATCGTATTTTCACATTCTTCATTAAAAAGATTAGCAAAATATCTCATCCACTTTTGTTGAATATCATCTTCTAAAAAAAGTATTTTTTGATCTTCATCCTTAATACACTTGAACTGAACTAAATCCTTACTACTCATATCTCTTTGTTTGGCAAACTTATACATATATCTTTCTCTCACTCCTTAGTATCTAATATATTATATAAATCATTAAAAACTAAGTTCTTTGCGTTGCAGATAGTTTTTTTAGATTTCTTACAAGCCTCTTTATAGCTTTCCCAATTATCAAAATTTTTACATCTAAATTAATTTTTATAATAAATCTACTTATTTTTTATCTTGTTTTGCACATTTGGATTTCACCACCAACTATTTTACTATTATGAGCTTTTCCCTTCGAAATTTCAAAACACATATTTGCAATATTCTTAATATCACTAGTCACTTTTTCACACATATTATTAGCATCCTCATGCACAAACAAAATCTTAAGATCTAAAATCTTACTTTCAAAAATATTTTTGTAAATATTATTTAAATGCCCCCATCTTAATCATAGAAAATTGTTTTACTTTATTTTTTTTTCTGCCCCTTTATCTTTAAGTCCAAAATTAATAATCAATGTTGGGTACATAAATTTTCACTCTGAATAATTTTATAATTATTACAATCTAAATGATCTAAATTTTTTATAAGAAAATAATAAATCTGTGTTTTATTATATATATTTTTATAAGTGATAAGATGCTCATCTATTTTTTTAAATAAGGTATCAGCTATTAAAAATTATAAGCTAAAAAAAAATCTAATATGGTCTTACCACCTTCATTTGTTGTTCCAAACCCATGACCACCATGAATGCTTTTAAAATCATCTACCTCTCTACCAATATGTTGATTTAAATCTCTTCCAATAAAAATTCTTTCTTCAAGAGGTATCTTTTACATTAATTCTTCTAAGTCATTCAAAATTTTAATTTTGAACTCATATCCAAATCTATTTGAGTAGTATAAGCATTTATAATATTAATAGCCTTAACATCAACAAT